AAATCATTTCAAAATCAAACTAATTATTTCTAATTTTAGAATTAATTAATCGTTTCAAATATAATCATTCATATTATTGATGTGTAAATCACATATAATTTATATTTTCTTTTTATTTATTTATTTTGTGTATTATTAGATGTACAATGATATTTTTTTCATGCAAATTGGGTACATTTAATATTTTTTTCCAATTTTTATGTTGTTCTTTTTATCAATCAATTTTGATGTAAAGAATATTTCTTTTCTTTTTTGATCTTAGATATCGCATTTTTGTTTTGCTATAAATTAATGAGGTTCTCTTCAAAATTATTGTCATGCGCATCATGTGTTGTGTAGCTTCTAGAAAGTTCTAAATTTGTTGAAAAAAATATAATTTATTATTAGTTATGATTTATATAATTTATTTTAAAAAAGTTAATTGCGTCAATTTCAACTTGACCAAAGCTACTAATTGATATATTAAATTAATTAATTTAATTAGGTATAATTTCTTTGTTGTGCAATTAATGCATGGTAATCATCATCGATGTTTGTTTAATTTTGATTTCTTTGTTGTGCGATTAATTTAATTAGGTATAATTTCGAGTTGACTTGTTTAATAATTGAGTTGAGCTAGAGTTTAAGTTTTTGACCCTATTGAAATATTAGATCAGGATAAGGTTAACTGTTATGCCCGAATGCAACCCACTTGACCCGTTCGTCACCCCATCTCGACCATCGTGCTTGCCTCCTCTCCCTCACGGTCTCCGTCGTGTTGAGCTGTGACAGCTCTCCCCCTCGCTTGCTTGCCCTCGCCCTCACCTAACTGCTCGTGTTAGCCCGCTAGTCCTCACGGACCCACGGTATGCCCGCTCGCATTCACTCGTCGCACTCAACTGAGTTAGCGTGTAGGGTCGAGTTAGGGACAGGCCAGTTTTGGGTCTAGATTTTAAACCCATTTTAGACAAATATGTTCGGTTTGGGTCATACATGTTAAGACCAAGTTTTCGAGTTTGTCTTTAAGCCAACCAAAAAATATATTTTGACACCCCTATGGTTTGCATCTCAAGGTTGAGCTTTCTAGTGAGAAATTGCATTTAAACGAGCTTTGTGGCCATTGTTGGCTCCATAGCAACGCTACTTGGAATCGATATTGAAATTCATGCACTGCATAAACATTGCATTCAAAAGTACAATTAATTTATTATTGCATTCAAAATTTTCATTTACAATGTTCATAACAGAGATGTTCATATATATGAGAAAGCGCACTATGTGATATTTGATATGGATCCTGTATATTTTGTTCTAGCAGCATATCCCTATTGCAGGTGTGAAAGGGATTTTAGCCCTCCTCGCTATAGCTAATGTGGGACATTATGTGACAGTGTTCTATTATTAGCTCCACATGCTATATGCATGTGTAAAAGGTAAAGGAAGGTGTAAATAGAAGTGTAGTTATAAGCATGCATCGAGACATGTGCATTATAATCATTGCGTTACATTTATATTAATAAAATAAATATAAGTAATAATCTGAAATGAATGCTAGGATTTCTGAAACTTTGCATGAACTCTGATGAAATATGAAAGTCAAGTGTAAGTAAATATCCGATGATAAGTATTCTGTAAAGCATCTAAAAACCTTTGTGAAAGTGGTCGGCTTTAAAAGTAAGTTAACTTTTCAAGTATGTATTGAAATGTAAACAAAGTTATGCTTTACTATTTTAATTGTGCTTTATTTATTCATTATTTCCTTTTTATCAATTTGCATTTTATTTTTCAATTTGGTTATTGATATATATGATGGGTCAAGTTAGCAAGTCTACTGAGCTAGTTGTGGTCATTCTGTTCTTTCTAATATTTCATGAAAAGGTAAAAGCCTAGTGGACTAGATCAGATATTGTGGCAGGATCTTTATGTTCTTAGTAATAAGGTATTATTTTCATGTAATCTTATATTTAAATATTTTGGTTTATGTACTTTTTTTTCTAGATTAATATATATAAATTTTGATGAAATAAATTATGTTTGGCTTATTATTTGGATTTTATAGTAGCTTTAGTTGTTTATTTGATGGTTGAGTTAGATAATTATAGGTTTAAGTATTCCAGTCTTCCATTAAAACCTACAGTGTCATACTCTAACTGTCTAAGCATTTTCATTATTGCAAGAAAACCAACTTTGGGTGCCCATTTTGTTCTCTTTCATCTCTTTGCGATCAACAGGCAAGAGAAAATTTGAGCTTGAATCCCACTCAACCCAACCTTATATATTAAAAAGTACACTCTGTGACATGTGATAAGGGATATGTATATTCTATCCTAGACTCATCGGCCCAATACAGGTGTGGGAGGGATTCTGGTCCCACTCGCTGTAGCAAATATGGGATGTTATGTGACACTGTTCTGTTCTGATTCTGACCCCACTTGTTATACAATATTATCATAACCCGAACGTGCCATCAAGTGACACAATAATCTTAAAGTTCTCTAATATAAATGAATGGGTGGAAGACATCATTACAAAACTTTTACCTCCATATATCGAAACATGTATGTTCTTAGGTGCAACTAAAATTTTGTGATTTGTATGGAGAGAGTGTTAATAATGATTAGAAATCATAGGCATTAATTTCTTCCTCCATTATTTGTTATTTAGAAGCCATATATTAAAATTTATTGAGGCAATTTTTATCCTTCTTTTATTTTTTTTAAATAAAATTTTAAAAGCCAAATTGCTAGAAACATTTTTTTATAATATGATATTCTATAAGTATTTTTCAAAAAAATTACAAGAGCACAAAATAAAAAGATTTCCTATTTCATCAAATGAATCATACTATTTACTTATATTTTTTTTCTACCACAAAAAGAACAAAAAATCACCCAAAAGAAAGCCCAGGTGAGTTTTAAAATTTATTTATTTCACGCAGGTGATTATTATGTATCAATCTAACAATCATTTCGTTCTAACTCCTTAAATTGTGATTAGTATTCTTTAGTGCTGACTTTGATTATTGTAGATGTACAAGTACCGTTGCATCTGGTCAGAATCCGTAGTGATTCTGTTTAGTTTAGTTTAGCTATTAATTAAATATCTGATATCTGATTTGATATGGTTCTGATTTCTGTATCTGTTCTGTAAGCAATTATGATTCTGATACGATATGATCTGCAATTCTGATTTCTGATTCTGTTGATGTGATCTGTCTGATCTGATCTGTTTGATTTGATATCTGTTCCGTTTAGTTCTATTCTGATATGATCTGAATTTCTTATTTCTGTACGATTCTGACTCTGTTGATTTATTCTGTTCTGATTTGTATTCTGAGGTGATCTGATATGTACAACTCTGATTCTGGTTTAATATATGTCCGTATCTGTTCTGATTGATCTGTTTCGTTCTGATCTGTGCGATTTGATATTTGTCCGATTATGTTCTGATTTCTGTACGGATTTGTCTGATGTGTTGGTTTTGAGATTCTGAGAATTTTGATTGGAGGTTTGTCGCTTTGCTGAGCTGTTGAGCTCACTCTTGTTTTCTGGTGGTTTTCAGGTTCTGGGAAAGGGAAGGAAGTCCAGGAATAGATTTCAGAGTCTGATCAGTATAGATATTGTTTTGTACTTTTGATTTTTGTACAGTCATGGCCTTTCTGCTATGTTTCTTTCTGTCTGAGCCATGTACTGTAATTGTAGATGATTGTTTTGAGGAAAAGAAAAGATATATGTTTTGTTCCGCTGCATTTGATGATTCATAGTAGCTCTGTGTCTGTTTGAGTACATTATTTGGAAGATTCAGTTCCGAACCAAATTCCATAACCAGATCCTGGTCAGTCAGTTCTGTTCGTTCCGTGTCGCGACCCAGTGCGAGCGGGATCCGTCCCGGATCGGGTCGGGTCGTGACAGTGTTGACTTTGATTATTGTGGATGAACACGTATCGCTACATCTGATCACAACGTCTTTGCTCCAGATCCCATCACCATCATGCTCAATTGTCGAGAACCCACAATATATAGGGCATCACCATTGTGCTCTCTAACACAACATCACAGTGCCCCCAAAAGAATTTTCATGCGTGCAAGAATTGCAAATTAATTTCAAATATGATTTTTAACAATCTATTAATTAGTTAAACTTTGGGACATTACACTTTTCATTAAATTTGTAGTCGAAACTATATATCACTTTGATGTAACAACTCAAATGATTAAAAAAAAAAAACTTGATCCGAGTAAAAATTAGCATAAATGAGGCACTTAGGAAAATAATTAAGACTTCATAAGTCCATTGATGGATCAAATGGCATTTGAATTTCACTTGCTTATAGTGAATGAGTGGCATCTCAAATAAATAAAACTATTAACCCTAATGTAACTTAATTATTATATTATTAAAGCATAGAGACATCTAAAAAATTTGAATAATTAAGGAGACTTTCTTTAATTATTTGATGGAAAATAATGTCACTTAATTACGAAATCATTAAGGCATTAATATGTCTAAAAGTTTTGAATTGTTAAGAGGACAAACTTTAATTATAGGATGGAAATTCATATTGATTCGAAATGAAAATAATTTATGGCTTTTTTCTTAACAATCGATCAATTAAATTTAGGTTTCGTTCGGGATAATTTTTATAATATTTTTTAAAATGATTTTTTTATTATAATTTTAAATTCAAAATATTTTTTATTAAAAAATTATTTTAGAAAAACAAGGAAAAGGGGTTCTCAAAGCTTTTCTTTGCGAAATCAAATCAAATTAAAATATCTCTTCTCGATGCTGTGACGTGTCGAGTATAGGTGCTATGGTGCCGTTTACCGAATCATTACATGGGTGAGAGTTGGAACATATGATAGGACGGGCTTAAACGACCGGTCGAGCCGAGCCGAGCCGAGCCGGTCGAGGTATTACAACAAAAAAACCGCACTTAGATCGGGCTTAATCAAAGTTTAGTTTGTGGGCCCCGGTTGAGCCTTTCGGCTTTAAATATCCGGGTGTTGCAGCTCGGTCGACGGGGATCCTCGGCCTCGCCCGCAAGAGTCGGGTGGGAGAGAGAGTCGGGATAAGGGAAGAGCGCTGTTTTTCGCGTGCCACGCTCTTTTCGTTGCTCTTAGCTTCCACGCGGCCTTCTTCCTCTGTAGATATAGATCTAGGGTTTTTTTTACAATTCATTTGCCTGTTCTTGTTCTGGCAATGATTTTGTCGGCGGAAGGCCGTTTGATCCGGTGATTTGGAGCAGTCCAGGGTGTCAAATCGTTCAGGTATCCGTCCTTGTTCTTGCAAGTCACCGGAAGATCCCTGAAGCGAGGGATCTTTGGCGGAAAATATCTGTTAAGAACAGTTGATTGGACTTGTTTACTTTTTACTGATTATCTTTGTTTTTTTTTAGCTACTGTTATTTTAGGCTTGTTATTCATCGCTGATATGTCGTGGATCTGGATGCTTTTCTGTTTGATAACAAGTCGTTTCCTGCGTAGTATTTAAATCTTTACCTCTTAGTTCAGTTTATTGAAGAAATTGCCATTCCGCGTTCAGCTAACCAGAATCTTGGTTTTTTTGCAGAAGTCTGGCTAGCTGAAAATGTCCTGTGTTAGTTAATATGTTGTGTTTGGTGATCCTCCTCTCACTTTATACTTTCTTAGGAGTCTAATATTTACTTTTCATGGGATTTTTAGATTGTGTGTGTGTGTGTGTGTGTGTTGTTTTTTTTAAAATGTGGTAGGTAGTTGGTGATCTTCCTTGATATGGATATTAATGTTTATATTCCTTATGAGCGAATGAAGTTTTCTTCGACTTTTCCATGCAGTCACTTGATTTTAAGGTGAACCGCTTGTCAATTTTGTGGTGTATTCAAGATTTAATGCACGTTATATGAATCATTCGGTGTTATTGTTGTCTTTGATGAGTTTGTACATTGCATTTTTCTCTCGTCCATTAAGTTCTTTTTGGTATTTTGAGCTACATTAGATTTATTTTTACATTTAAACCATCACATTGGGAGCTTATCACAAGCTTGCGTATGAGGCTCTATTGTTTATTGTCGTTATTAAATATCAATATTGAAGCGTGAAAGCCATATAGTTATTTATGCAACTAGATCCTGTTCATTTTTTTGAAATTTAATATTGAGATGGTTCAACATGGCATCGATCAAATGGTACAATATCATGATGTCCACTTGATTGGCCTTATTTATAGATACAAAAATAAGCTTTTCTCCCTGTAATAGGAGAGTGCCCATTCTTCTCTTATGTTTCTTTTGTAATGGCATGCTTTCCTCATATACAAAATCATATAATTCATTTTGTTCTATACTTCTTTTCTATACAAGCTTGTAAGGATAATGCTTCATAAACCATGATGCTAATTTTCTCATGTATCTATTTTGTATTGAAAACTAGTAAGAGAGAATGGCTTATGAAAAACACTTGCATTTTACTAATGACATGCAGTTTCAAGTCTTGAATGCATCTCATTAAATTAGAAATTGTTTAAAAGGTTTTAAGTTGATAAACCATCGATATTTTTTAGGGCAAATCATTGACTATGAAATGTTTCAATGTACTTGGTAGATGATAATGATCATAGAAGCACAAGGAATTGTGCATGTCATGATTCGTTTCATTTTTAAGATAATAGATTTAATCTTTTCTTGAAGGTTATCATCATCTTAAGAATCAACCTTATCCTAGTTATTTATGGATATGTGTGCCATGGAGGCATGGAGATCACTACACCTGATTATCGACACTCTTGATTATTGTTTGGCAAAGTCAAAGTATCTTGCATTTAAAAACTTGTGCTTAAAATTTTGAAGTAGATGGGTTGGCATTGCCTTCCTAAGGAGAAACACTATCCATCTATCTGGAAAAAGAATTGCTTAGGGTTTGCTTGTTAATGTTGTGCTGGTGTTGATGTGCAGACTTAGAAAGATTCATAAGTTTCTATGCTAGTATGTTACACATGATTGTGTAATCATGTAGAAAGTGCATTTCCGATATGACATTTGTTTTATTTTTCATTACACAAATCAAATTGTCATATGATTTGTTTATAATAAACAAATTTGTTTACAAGCATTACACACAAGGCATATGATCTTTATATGTTCAGATGGTATGTGATTGATTAACATGAGAATTTATTTGGTTGGCATGAAGATGTCTGTTTGATGAACCTGTAATTAACATTAATAATTGTTGGATAAGTCAAGAGTTTTTAATTATAGTAGGGTTGTATTAGTAATGAATTAATTTTCATAATTTTTTTTTTTGTGTTTTTTTTGGCCAGATAAAATTATAACATGTTTAAAAGCTATGCCAAAAATTAGAGGTAGCTTTTTATTTAGTATCTAACAAGAATGAATGGATGAGGATTCATATAGCTAATTAAAAGATAGATGAAATGGGGTTGATGATATGATAATGAATACAACCATATAGATCTTTTTTGGTTCCTTTTATCGTGAGTGACAATTAAGTGGTAAACTTAGCAGATCATATTGATCCAGAGACAAGGAGTCGTAGAACACCAAATTTGTTCATGCACTTGGGGAAAGCTCAAAGTCTAAGCAGTGTGAAATATTTGTTTATGTTGGGAGTAATTTAAATTTAGAGTTTGTAATTTAATCAATTAATTGTAATTTATTTGCATATATTTTGATTTTAATTGCAATTAGTGAGTTAAGGCAGCATAAGTGCATTTTCATGCTTATAATGAACAAAATTTCTAGAGGTTATTTGGACCAAGTTATTACGGATTCAATTCCTATTGTATACCATGACAAGTTCTATTTCTATGGTTGGAGGTTTGCATTTATGCCTTTCTACAAGAGTTACCATTCTTATTGAATTGAGGGTTTTCTCTCTTCTACGATTTGAGGTTTGCAGCTATACCTATTTGTTGAAACTTCTAGTCTTATTTGTTAGATGTGGGATTTCCGTCTATTTCCTATTTCTATGGGAATTTCTAGTTTTGCGGGTGAAGAATGATTAAAATTGCTATCTTTTTTTCTACAATTTGCTATTCTTATGGGAATGTGAAACGAGCTATAGCACGTGTAAGTCCTTTTCAATGTGTATACCCTTCTTCTAGTTAGTGATTCTTGCCTCCAGCATACTGTAAGAGGTGTTCTTCTTGTTCACGTTTGAAGCTTTTCTATTGGTTAATTATTCATTTTACTCATCTTGTATGTCTATATACATGCACCTACTTTCAATGGATAAACTGTATAAAATTTCACCCATTTAACTCTGAGCATAATTTTTCTAGAGTTAATGGATTTGGTTCTCATGGGTGTATTCTAAGTTTAGCTCCCATTATTACACTCATATGCATGGCATTTCTTATTCCTACAATTGAAGGTTGTAGCTATATATATATGCACACGTTACTATTCTTATTTACTAGAGTGTTGTTTTATTATTACTACAGTTGGAGGCATTCTACCATACATATATGCGGGAGCTCCTATACATATTTGATGGAGGCTGTTTTTACAACCATTCTCATTCATGCAGGAGCTCCTTTCTGACTAATTTGCAGCAGGTGGCTTCCAGTGATCTTTTCTAACCCAATGGGTTTCTATTCTTACAAACTTCTGTCATAATACCTATTTTATGAAACTTACAAATATATGTATTACAAAGCACGTGAATTAAAATTCCTTTTGGATGTTAAAACTTGCCTACGCCGTGGCTAATCGTTGATCAATTGTGAGATTATAAGCATTTTAAGAGAGGTTATCTCTTTATTAAAACATGACTAGTTTGTTATATTTATTGGTTTGTTCTCCCATTCATCTTCTTTTCATGCTTCTCTTTATCCGTCTTTCATTCTTTTTTTGTTATAATTGCCTGAAAATTTTGTTGACTCTTTGATCTTCTATATTTTGGGACCTTCTTGTTGCGCACAAAATTGCAATCAATTGTGTGAATTTCAAAATGTCTAATTCTCATTGATAATTTCTATTTATCCACCTAAAATTTTGTCAATAAAGTATATTTCATTTTTTCTATATTTATTTTTAGTAGTTAATAAATGTTTGTGTAAAGAGTTCGCTTTCCTGCAAGTTTGCATGTTTTCTTTCAGAAGTTGATCGCTTCTAATATAAAGTTTATATTACAAATAACTTTTGATAGTTGATTGGATAGCTTATGTCTACATTGCATGCTAGAAGTCATAGAACATCCTACATCATTTGTGGCATATGATGTTAAAATCCAAGTGTGATTTATATAGTGAGACTAATGATTAACATATTTTTTGTTGCATGTCTTGGTAATTTGAAACAAGATTTTAAGTACACATATTGCAATGTTTGGAGCAAACTTTACCATAAAAACCTCAAAATCTTAATTTTACTTGAAAATAATATGCTACTGAATCAACACCATTTTTTCATGGCCTTGTTTGGGACTACTTTTATTTTTCATTTTATGTTTAAAAAACATATTTTAGCTGTATTATTCAATTATTTTTTATTTTGCTTTTAAAGCAAAACAAAATGTTCTTATAAGATGTCGAACTTAACTTTATTGCACAAAAAAGAGAAAAAAAAAGTGATTCCAATTGGCCCTTTGCATCACTACATTGCAGACTCTTGTATTTCTCCCCTCTTCGTCTCTCATCTTTTGTTTTTCTTCTGTTTGATGGAACTAATGCAAAAGGTTTTGTTGGAGCAGGGCTTGGGAGGTTGTATCCTTTCTTGACCACAGTTCCAATTACACCTTATCTGATGGAGTATAATGCTTCAAAATTTACATCTAACCAAATAAAAAAATACAGTTTTCCTGCATGCTAAACAATTACAAGTAAATAGAATGCATTGCATTTGGTATGCTGTGCATTTTTTAAATTCATCCATCATTACAAATGCAGACGATCAAACAGCCCCATAATTGTTTTTAAAGAATCTGTATGCTTTCCAGTAGGAATTAGTTTGGCTAAGATGCCGTAGGGCCTAGCTTTTTTTGCTTTCCTTGCATTTTTTGAATTTGAGCTATTAATTCAGTCTTCTATTTCTTCTACATTTTCATGATTTTTTAAATAATCAGGCATATATATATATATATCAGGGAAGAAATCATTTGTTTTATAGTTTTGCCTTGTGAATGGTTATTCGCTATGCATTCCTTTTTTCAGCTACGTAGTTCTTATATGCATTTGAATGCGGCACCCTGAATTGTTTTGGCATTTCACTTTTCAACGAATTATTTATACTAGTAAATGCCTCAAAGTATTATTTAGTTTATGAAAGAATTAGAAAAAAATTGGTGAGTATTTTATTTCATCTTTTTAACAAAATTAATATAATCCTAGAGGAATTTTTAAAAGGAAATATACAAAACTAGAGATTGAAAATTAGAGAGAAATATCTTATAATAGGACAATCCATTGATTGGTAAGGTGGTTACGATGATCCTATGGATCAGTGAGGTGGAAAAGAAGATAATAAGAAAAGAAAGGGGCAAATGAGGTTGTATGTTAGTAGCTATGCTTGAGGTAGAAGGGCTATTGACAGTTTTCAGTGGTGGATGGCTGTTTGGGTAGAAGTTATGGCGTGGGCTTCCTTGTAGCTAGCTAGGGGTGAATTCTCAAGGAATTTTTCGTATTATCCTTCAAACAATTGAATGGATGTTATCTATTCCAAACTTGTATGTTAACTTTTGAAAAATTCTCTTATATAAAGTTTTGTGAGAATATTCTCAAGTTTTTTTCCATGGTAATAAATTAAACCATTGCCCAATTTTTTAATACAATGTTAGTCAACTTTAATATGCTTAATATAGTCATGTTGCGTAAGGTTTTATGTAATATTCATGGTTGATTTGTTCTCATTAATAGAGCATTATAAGATATTTTCCTTCAATTTTTATATTTTATAGGATAATTTAAGCCATAGCAATTCACAAATTTTTCGGACTACAAATATAAGTTTGGCTGATGCATTGGATCTTGCTATTGCATTATATATATTTAGGGGTTGTTTGGTTGACTAAAAAAAGAATTCAGTGTAAAAAGAATACTTTTAAATTGTTTTAATGATTGTCAAAAGGAATGCATGAGATTATTATTATTATTTTGGTTTGAGTTAAAATGTATGCAATGTAAAGTGCAAAAGGTTGTGACCGGAGGGCGGACGTCGACGGTTTAGGGCCGGCGGTGAGATTCGATGTATTTGGAAATCACCCAAATATGAGGAATTCCAAATACACTTTTTTTTTAAATACACTTGATTTAAATTAGAGGGTAAATTTCTTTTACTTTAAAATTTTACTTTGCATTCCTTTTACTTAAAATCAAACACCAATATTTTCAAAACCCTTGCATTTGGAATACTTTACTCCCTTTTGTAGCAAACCCAACAACGCCTTTAAGTCAAGAGGTTGCCTCAAGTATTTATAATATCCTATAATGGACCACCTATCGTACTCCCAACATAATCAGCTTTAGGTGTTAAATCTTCCCTTTTTTTTAATAGAATTCCTTTATTTGGTGTTCCTTAAGATGTTGTAAAATTTGTTGCATTGCCCTAAGATGTGATTCATTAAGATTATGCATGAATTGACTTATTCCAACAATAACATAGGCATGTCAGGTCTCTAGTTTATGATAAGTTGGTAATTCTTCCCATGAATCTTTGTTACATGCATCTATATACAGATACAATAATATATGCATTTTAGGTCTAATATGTGATAAGTAGGTAACTCTTCCCATGAATCTTTGATAGGAGATTTTCTTAACTACTACTACTGTGTTTTATGAAGCATCCTCAAGTTTATGATTAAATTTCGTGGGGCTCATTAGGCTTGCTTTTGAATTTCTTTTATGCTATGCATTTTTTTATTTGAAAATTTCATTTCGAGAGTGTGCAACTTCAATTCTAAGAAAGTACTTTAATTTTCTTAATTCTTTGATTTGGAATTCATTAAGTAGATTTTTTTTTTTAATTCTCAATTTTCTTCTAAGTCAGTATCTATCATGATGATGTCATTGACATAAACTAATGGTGCAGAGACTCCTCGCGAAGCCATATTTTTCAAAAAAAAGTATGATCTCTTCAGACTTTGTTTGTATCACTTGTTAAGCATTATCTTAATGAACCTTTTTAACCACGCTTTTGGAGATTACTTCAACCAATACAATGACTTTTTTAGTTTAAGTGCTTTTTGTTTTGAATTTGAGCCAAATCTTCATGGGACGTTCTTATACTCTTCCTTATCTAGATAACTATGCAAGAGGGCATCATCCACATCGAATGTTGTATATTTCTGTCTTTGTTGGCTGTTAATGATTAAAGAATTTAAACAATATTCATCAATTGGAATGAAATTTTTTAGGATAATCAATCCTATATTTTTAAGTAAAAGTTTTTGGCCTCCAATATCGCTTTAAATCTTTCTGGTGAATTATCAGATGTGTATTTTATAATAAAGATTCATCAATATCTCCTTTTTTGTAATTTTTTCAATTTTCATGTTCTTTTTTTCTTTTGAAGTGATTATTTTTGTTCCTCTATAGCATTAGAGAATATATTAGGGATATAAACAATATGCAAGTTAGTAAGGAAGATTTGGTGATAATGAGAGATTTTTGTGTGATAAAAGTAAATGCAAGAGATTTTGTTGTAGTTCTTGTACATTTACTTTTAGGTTCAATCGTTCCTTCAACTAATTTAGTGATAGGGATTGACTCGATTGATTTGATCTATGTAGATTGAGATTCTTTTCATCGTGACTAAACTTGTAATGGTTGAGTAATTAGTGGTTCTATTATAAGCTTTGCTTGGGAAGGAATGGCTGCTGGTTCTTTCTTGAATATAGGTGTTAGTTGGGATGTGAGGTAAGAAGATGATCTAGTAATAAAGTAGTGATCTTTATTGAAAGTAATATCAGCAGATATACTATTCTTCTATATGAATAGTACTATATGTACCCTTTTTGTGTTGGAGAATAGAAAAGGCACATTTATTTACTCATAGATCAGAGCTAACTCTATTTTAGGGAGGCACATGAATAAAGATAACACTTTTAAATTTCTTGGGAATAAGATTTTTTGAGGTATTAAAGTGGGGAATAAATTTAGTTAGGGCTTGTGGAAGACTCTTGAACTCAAAGGACTTATGGATAATCCATTTTTGATGTGGGCGGTTGTTCAAACAACTTCCCCCAATATTATTTTGTAATATTCTTTTGAATGAGGATAGCTGTTGTGTTAGTGACTTGGTGATTGTTCTTTCTTCAACCACTCCATTTTGTTGGAGTGTACGAACTTAATCATCAACAACAACATGAAGCCTTTATACCATTAGGTGGGGTCGGCCACATGAATCTTTTTTATCTATTTTGTCATGTTAAGTAATAAATTCTCATTTCAATTTCATAAAAAAAATGTTATTTCTTATATTTTTTAGCCAAGTTTTTTTATGTCTAACTTTATATTTTTTAAAATAGGCCAAATTCAATACATCTACTCTCTTAATCAGGTCATTGGAAGGCCAACGTTTTATATGTCCAAACCATCTAAGGTGACTCTCTCTAATCATTTATGCCATTAGAGCTGCTCCAACCTTTTCATGTATATACTCGTTTCTCATTCTATCTCTAAGAGTGAAGCCACTCATCCACTTGTGCATCCTCATCTTTGCTACACTTAACTTGATTTTATGCTTCTCTTTTAATGGCTAATATTTTACGTCATAAAGCATTGCAAATAAGATCAACATCTTATATAATTTTTCTTTTAAGTTTAAGGGGTACTTTTATATGCACATGGCCTGATGCATTCCTCCATTTCAACAATCCAACGTGAATTTTACTAATAATATCCCGATCTATTTCATCATCACTTTGAACAATAAACCCAAGATATCTAAAACATGTACTCTTTTTAATGACTTGATCGCCCAAAGTCACAATCCCCTACTAGATATATTGCTACTAAAATTGCACTCCATGTATTCGGTTTTAGATCTACCAAAATGAAATCTTTTAGACTCTAAGATTGACCTCCATAATTTAAGTTTTCCTTCAACTCCCCCTCAAGTCTTGTCAAGAAAAATATCATCAACAAAAAGCATACACCAGGGTACATTCTCTTGTAAATGTCTAGTAAAAACATCCATGACTAAAGCAAAAATATATGGGCTTGAAGATGATCCTTAATGTAATCGAACTGAAAAAGGAAAATACTTTGTCAAATCACCTTGTATTTGAATACAAGCAACAACTCATACATGCATGATACATATCCTTAATTACTTGAATAAACGCATTATTAGCTCTTTTCTTCTCTAGAACTCTCCAAAGCACTTATTTTGGAACTTTATCATATACTTTATCTAAATTATAAATATTATATGTAGATCATCTTTATTCTCTCTATACTTATCCATCAAACCTCTCAATAAATATATAGCTTCCATAGTAGACCTATCCGACATGAATCCAAGTTGATTTAGATAAACATTAGTATGATGTCATAACCTATGCCCAATAGCCCTCTCCCATATTTTTAATGAATGACACATTAACTTAATTCCTCTATAATTCACACACTCCATTTTTCTCATCTAGGACTTGGGACATGACAATGATAGTGTTTTTATAGACATAAGCATACATGCTTTATTTTTTTCCTTGAAAGTATGAGAGTGAATGATAAAATGGTGTTTAATTTTAATGCCAAATTGATTTTTTTTTTATTTTATAAAAAATGAGGGAAAAGATGGTGTACTCATGTCACTTTTAGGCTTAGTAAAAATATTCATAACACGGGTATAATCATCGATATAAGACATGAGCATCAATCTCTTTTGATGGTAGGTGTAGATGGATGGTTTTTTTGGTGGCACTATGATATGCCTTTGTATCAAAAAACAACCCACAAATAAGATGACTTCAGCACAAAATAGATTTTATTGCTAGAAAAAAAAAATAACAACAAGCAAGATACAATTGATCCTCTTTCGATAGGAGGATATTCTCTCCCAAACCCTAGACGCCGTTATGATCCCTCACACAAGAAAGAACTATAGCTCTCAAATAAAAAATTGTATAAAAAAACTAGCCCTAACCTTAGACGGCCTCCTTCCTAATTACTAATTAGTTTCCCACGATTGAAATTCAATTAAGAAAATATCTCTTAAATTGATTCACTCCTAAGTCCTAACATAATATTTTATTTATTTATTGGGCCCCACCTCCTCAGTCGCCTCTCTCTAGGTCTGCCGACCCCACCTGGGCAATAATTGGCTGGACTTGTCCGACAGGTCCAGCATCTCTAGGGTCCGCATGGTTGCGGACCCCCTCTGCTCCTACCATATCACAATATGATAACAATGATGACATCAATCTTTATTCCCACTACGTTTGGAAATCCTTGGCACGGAGCTACACCAATTTGAGTGTTCACCCGTTCATTGCGCCCCATCCCCAAAGGGGATGATGCAGCAACTAGGATGGCTTTTTTCGTAGTAGCAACTGCCGCGGCTATGTGGTTTTTTGGTGGCACTATGAATGAGAATAAAATTAGGATTCTTATGCCGCCTACTAAAAAATAATTTTTTTTGGAGATTGGTACGTGTGTCTTACTTGATTCAAACATTACAATGAAATTCATCAATATTAATTTATTTGAATAATAAAAGAAACATAGTTTTGAAAGTAAGAAAGGATGGATGAACATGTCGTTGGGGTTGAAGCTGGTTTTTAATTGGATTTCACAATCTGTAAGAATTGATAACATGAAAGATTATATGGTACTTCCTTAATTATTGAATCTTCAAGATTGTGGATAGTCTCTCTTTTTAGGAAGTCTAATCATCTTTCTCATGCCTTGTTCTTGAAAGACATAAAGCAAAGGATAAAACTCAATATTGAGACTTTATAGTGAGATTTTGGATGGGTAATGAGTTGATGAATGATTTAGATATATTATGAATGTTTCAAAGTACGAGATATTGTTTATAAGATTATTTTATTGATTAGAATTGGTCTTTAGTTATCCATGGAAAATGGTTATGTTATCCTTGTTAGGAGAAGGAATATATGAAATAAATTCATGTGAGTTGATTATATAATTTATAGCTTTTGAATCAATTATCTAGCAGTTGGACTGGGCATCTCTGAGACTTTTGAAGTGTAAGAAGAGGAGATAATATTTTGGAATATTACAAAATAAGTACATATTGGGAGTTTTTTCTAGTCATATCAGGAAGTTTTAAAACTTTTCTAATTCTCCGTTGAACTCAATGGGCGTTTTTTTGGTGATCTTCTTCGATATGTATTGTATTTGTGCACTATATATGACCACTTTTAACCATTTTTGTTGGGCTTAGACGCTTAGTTGCTTGTGTCCTTGATAAGAGATGGGTCTTGAATATGAGCTTTTGATATTGGTAGCCTTTGTCTAAACTTTTCATGTTATTGTTGATAATCATACATTTATGTGTTATACATAAATGTCTTTGTTCTTTTTCATGTCCTTGTCTTGTCGAACATATTTCTTTTGTATGTTGCTTTTAACCATGAATGTTGGGTTGACCTTTTGTGTTCTTCGGTTGAAGAGGTTTTGAATTTGAGTTCTTGATGTTGGATGTCTTTATCATTAAGGACAAACCTTCCATGGGCATGTTGGTAATCATGACCTCCTCTCTATCTTTGTTTGAATTATGACAATGAATCATTAAGTGATGGTAATTTTTTTTTTCTTTTATTTTTATTTGAGAATTTGTGCCTGTAATATCAAACTCAACATTTAATTGAAAAGAAAAAGCTAAAATTCATTCTTTTCAACAACCTTTTTAAAGAGGGCCATATTTTTTCTGCATTTCATTTGAATATTTTGTCAATTGTTCATCTCTTGCGATACGTTTTGCTGTGGATTGGGGTTGTGATGTGATGGAGCATCTTTCCTGTTTTGTGGATGAGATCTTGTTCTTATTGTTTATAACAGATGATATATTTTTGTTCCGTCTCAAAATAATTTATTTAATGTGGATCATATAACTAATTTTTGCTTCATATGTATTTTGTTGATTATTGGTTATGGTATTAATCTTATTGTTGTTTCACGGAATTGGACAAAAGGCGCTTCCTCAATGAACTTGATTTTTCATTTCAGGATTTAGTTTGTTGGGACATTTCCCTGTTAGACTCTGTAAGATGGGGCCATTGTACTCAGATTGCGTGTCTGACACAAAAACAAGATTTTTGAAAAATAGTAGCCAGTCATTTGCTTGTGTTGAAGCCATCTGTCCTCAGCCTCATCGTGCAGTCAGGCTCCCATATTTTATTGAAGATCTTAGCAAATTCAGCCCTGAGCCGAAGAGGTATATCATAATTATGTAGTTCCACCAAGATTCTATCTTCCTAATTAAAACAAAAATTATAATTATTTTTTTGTCACGGTGCTTGGTCGGTGATGAGGTGGGCGGCCGGGCAGTCACTTTCCCCCTTACCTTTTTCACCTTAAGCTTAGTTAGCTCTGCACATTTATTGCCGTAAAAGATGCGATCCTCTGAATTATGGGAGCTGGCTAACGTTTTTTCCCCGTTATTTTACTTCCTCATCTATCAGCAATAACACATTTCCATCTTTTTTCTCTTTGGTAGTGTGTATGGCTGTGAAGCTACATTGGATTTGGACCCTCCATGTCTTGTTAACATGCACGCATTGTCTATCTTTAGAATACTATTTGATCTTTTTATTTTATTTTGTTTTTTATTTTGGGAAAGTTTATGTTTAAACACAAATTTTCTGTAGAAGGAATTCAATCTCAAAAGCTTGACTATAATTTTCAAGATTTATTTTTCTCAACAAAGGGCATCTCCAACCGAAAATCTCATTTTTCACTCCAAAATGTTGTGATTCATCTCCAATCGAACTCCATTTTGCACCGTAACGGTCGCTCTCTTCTTTCGCGCGTTTCTTCGGCAAGTTCGGTAGAGATCAAAAAATGACGAAGATGAACAGTGCAACGCCAATATTGACGTCTCAATGTTCATCCGTGATGAAATGTTGTAAGAATTGCCGCTCAGTTGGAACGATGGAAGAAGGGCAAATAGTTGTTTGCCGTTCCATTGAAGATGCTCTAAGGCTGCATCTCTTTATTTACTTATTATTGTTGTGGCATCATCAATAATTATTTGTTGATGGCGGTGTTATCCTTTATTCTTCTCTTTCATTTATTTTTTCCCTAATGTTTCTATTTTCACTTATTGTTTTGGAAAAAAAACTGCACTTTTTCCGCAATAGAATGATAAATTTTACCTATTTCAGCATTTTACCGAGGAACAGAGACAAAACAGGCTTTGAAATTATTGGTATCCTCCTGAACAAGGTATATAGTGTAGAGTAGTTTCATATTATATCCTTGTATCATTTTTTTTCCTTTAGGGTGGTTACCTTAAGCTATGTCTTTTGCAGGAAGAGATAGAGGTAGGCGGTGATATAGATGGGGGCAACGAAATAGGTTACTTTTGTGGGTCGCCTCCTGTGCGCACCCACAATCCTGTAATACATGACGCAGAGTTTACCAAACAAATGGCTATCCCCCTGGTATCTAACCTTCCTGTGTTGTCAAACCCTTCTTCATCTAGAGTTGAAAGGGGTTCGCCAATATGCAACCCCGGGAGCCCAAAAATCAGAGTCGAAGGTTTTTCTTGTGGGAAATCTGATCCCTGCTGTGTTCCTACTCTTGCCTGACCCATCTGATCGTAGATTCCTAACTTTCTCTGTACAGAGTTTTCTTCATTCAGCTGAGAATATTAAATTCCCAGCAAATGCGTTTGAGGTCATTTTCAAGCTGTTGATGACATCTCCTTGTTTCATTTAGAGTCCAGAAGAGCTTTGTGTTGTATATATATAGCTCATTTTAATGTACGTAGGATGTTTCAACGAGTCGTTTTACTGTTTCTTGGAGGCTGGCTAGCTTGTAATCTGGATTTAGTCGATCTGTAATGTAAATAACGTCATTTTTGTATGTATATATCGAGTTTTCTTTTTCTTTTTCCGTTTTTTTTTTATTGGGGGGAAAATTTCAGTGCTGAAGCATAAATATCATGCTCGCTATGTCTTGAGCATTTGTTTCGGCATTTCAATCTCTCTTATCTTAATTAGACCAAATCGATTCGATTATGTTAGTGTTCATGTTTGAGTTTATTTGTCATTAGCTTGTTCAAATTCGGTTAGTTTTTTATTCAAGATTTATTGTTTGTGTTCATGTTTCGTTCGTTTAAATTAGTGGTGTTCATGTTTGGTTTATGCTCGATTCGTTTAGTGCTTATAGAGCTTTAAACAAATAAGCTTTAATGAGCTATGTTCGTGAATATATTTAGCGAATTTTTTAACACTATCACACAAGCACGTTCATGAATAGATCTAATGAGTATTCTTGAGCTATCAAATGAGCAAGATCATGAATATATAAATAACTAGTATTTTTGAGCTAACAAATGAACTCGTTCATGAACAAACGGTCTATGATTTTTATTTTTTATTTGTTCATGAACATCTTGTACAAATAATCTAGCAAATATAAACAAATGTCAAATGCCTTTTGTTATGAAGGTATAAAATAAAATGGAATTAAATTTATAATAAAATGAGTTGTCTATTTAAAATGAAAATATGATTAATCTATATGAATATATTTGTTAAGCTTATTCACAAGTTCTAAATCGAACACGAATTGAACTTTTTATTGAATTTAATGTAGAGCTTGTTCATGAGTTTTAAATGAACATAACACATTAGTGTTCAAACTTGTTTATTTAAGAATCGGGTATTAAAAATGATGCTCAAGTTTATTTGTTTAGTTAGTTAAACAATCAGAAAAGAACTTTAATTGAACTGGGCAACAAATAGCTCGTCGAACATTTGGTTCACTTGCAGCCCACTCGCAATGTTGTTTATTTTTAATGTAGCTCGGTGCAATATGCCCGTGTGCAATTGTGCATAAGTAGGCAAATTACATTAATATATACTATATTGTTTCTTGTTATTACTCGGACTGATCGCTGGCGCGGTGTGAGATCTGTAGAAGGAGAGCTAAGTTTGGAAGTAGAAATAATCTTGGAGACAAATGTGGGTCATCGTGAAGCGAGATGAGTAGTCTTCTTTGGATGAGATGTGGCGGTTTGTCTCAAGGAGAGGAGGCAATGGCGGTTTCCGAAGACCGTGCGTGGCGCCCAAGGACCAGAAATTATCCCGATAGAATATGGCATTGGATCGAGAAAGAAAGGTAAACCATCATCACTGTTTCCTATGGGTGGCAAGTCGGTTAGGGATTGGCTAATTATTTAGGGTTTGGAAAATATTTTAATAATCAACAAAACTAATGGTATCTACCAACATTATGATGTTTGAATCTTCTACACTTGGAAATTATTTGGTTTACCAGCTAAAAGTTTCCTTGTAGTCAAAATGATCTAATTAGGATTCCCAAATATTGGATATTGTTGAGTTAAAGTGAGTAAACTCATTGTTTTAATGATGTATGGATATCCAACATACAAACAGAGAAAACATTAAAACACCTATTTTTTTTTAATGTGGAAAATTAGAAGAGGCAAAAACCATAAGCGCCTAGGTGAAAAGATTCAACTAATTTTGAGTGAATTATAATGGTTGATTGGTCATTTGACTTAGAGGCGATAGAATTACAGTAGTTTGGAGATTTGGAATAGCAATGGTCACGCGGAAGTTTGACGGCTTCCGGGTAGAAGTTTAGCTGATGGGGAATGATCTGACGACGGTCAAGCGGAAGTTCGTTGGCGGTCGGTGGCTGGGCGATCGTCCGACGACGTTCGGGAGAAAGTCTGGAGGTGATCGATGGTCGGATGGTGGTTCGACGACACTTGATGGGGGTTCGTTGATGGTGGTGCTGAAGTTCTTGAAGAATTAGAGTTTTCTCCAATCTCTAATCAAAGCCCCTCCCCCATGTAAAGAGTGAGGTCTATTTATAGATTTTCATGAGTGACACCCTATAAATATAAAGAAGATCTTGGGCAATTTTCGAGTGCTCCATCCGATAGCCCATATTGATTCCCCAATTATAGAGTATTTTTCAACTGTTTAAGTGCCTTAACGTCGTTGAAATTCACCGATCTTGGGCTCGTTTGATTCATCTCACTGAGTCGCTCGATTTGACTATAAGTATGCGATATTTGTATGTCATTTTTGTTATCCAAATAATGCTTTGTATCTTCCAAATATGCTTCGAACTCTTGATTTGGACTCATTTGGGTTCAGATTATATTGATTTTGGCATCATCGGTTTTGTCTCTTTGAGACATTCAAATTGAATATAAGTTTGTTGAAATTGGAGTTTAGATGATCCTGAATTTGATTTTAAAAATTTTCAACTTGAATATACCTCGAGATTCGTACATGATTAATATCATTTTTGATGACCTATCAGATATTATGAGTCAGTCTATCTGTTACATTAATCCTTTGCTTGAGGAAAAGTTTTATCGGTTAAATAAACATTCATATTGTGAGGTTCCTCATATTGAATTTATAATTTTACAGTTTGTATCATAAAAAATGTTTATAATGCATTACGATTATTAAAACATTATACTTTTGAAGATGTCAACTTTGGTATGATGCTCAAAGGGAATGTTACTTTCCATTCCTAAAGAATATATTTATTATAAATATTTTAATAGTATTTTAAATTTGATCATTTTATAATAGCAATTATTATTTTAAATATTATATATGTATAGTGTTTAATCAGGTAATTACTCGCGTTAATAATATTCCTTAAAGTCAGTAGACGCGGCTAAACATGGAATCATCAAACGGACGGTGGATTCGAGTGAACGGCCTTTATTTCATCAAGTTGTCCGTACCACGGACAATGCTGACATGGCTGGTTCGTTCTCCTGTGGGCCCCGACCTCTCTGTTCAGAGAAACTTGGGCGGTAAAAAAAAATGCGTATGTACTCGTGTCTCCTTCTGGTTGGATAGATCCGTATGAGATTCCTCTCATGGGATGCCCGCACGCAGCGGATGCTTTCGTTCCCGCGCGTTGAGTGATCAGGATTTTCATAAGAACGACGAAAAATTAAAGCAGCATTAAAGAAACATGTAAAAAAAACAAAAAAGGAGGGAACTTGGAGGGAGGGAGAGAGAGGTTGTGCGGGGGAAGCGGAGAAAGGAGGTTTTTTTCCCCCTTTTTTATTACAATTGTAACAACTCTTGTCATCCGCTTGCAAAAGCCCTAATCTTTTGTGATTACTGGACTGCCCCGCTTTGCAATTACCCTGCCGATCAATTGGGTTGGTCGTACGATTCTGTGTTGCAGCTGCAGATTCGGCCGATCTGGAAGGGAAAGCGTGATCATTGATCTGATTCTATGTGATGACTTTATTTTTGGCAATCCAGTTGTTTGTTTCTTAGATCACATGCGTTGAGGTTGTTATGGTGGATCGTTTAGGGTTTTGCGGCGAGAAAGCTTCGGTGCAATGAGTCCTGGTATAGCGGGTATGGATATGGAGGAGGCCAAGCGTCCCAGTGCTCTGCAATTGGCTGATGGCGCAATGGAAGCTCGATTCGCTAATCTTTGCAAGGTTTTGTGGTTTTCTGTTGGCATTTTGTTCGCGATCTGTTTGTCTTATTTGTGTTTTCTACGTCTTTTCATCTGATTCGAGGTCTGCTTTAGCAGAGCGGAGTGGGGATTGATGAGGGCACAGCAGAGGAGGCACTTGCACTTTTTGGAGAAAGCAAGCAAATTCTGTCGGGGATCATTTTGTCAGTTGGAAGCGGATCGGTGATTTTTTCAATTCGTTATCTGTTTCCATATTGGTTTGTTAGTGGATCTTCCTTTGTTCAATACTCATTCCTTTTGCAGCCGGAGGTAGTCGAGAGGCTTTGGTCCGCTTTTCTTCTCTATTGCGTCATTAGACTCTGCAGTGGGAAGGAGAAACAGGAGAGCGAGGATGGAAGAGTGAAGCTATCCCAGATTCTGGAGGTGGCTAAGCTGAAGTAGGGACCTTTTGATCTTTTAATTAAAAAAAAAACATGATTTTGCGTTTTCCGTGCCCTTGAAAATCTCAAATTGACGGTTTTTTTTTCTATTTTCCATTCTAGTGCTTTGAACTTTTTCAAAGAAGTTTCCCACTTTTCTGTTAAGGCTGATAATGTTTTATCCAATCATTATGGGCCTGATTGGGAGAAAAGGATTGAGGTAAGATAGAAGTTGAATTGAATCCCCATTTGGCTTTTGTCACCATTTTGCTCGGCTTTCTATCTACAAATGATTAATTCGCTTGCGCTTTGCTCCTGTTTAGTTGAAGGAGTTGCATGCAAATGTTGATCAACTCTGTTGTCTTAGCAGGTAAACCTATTGATCTAGCTTTCATGCACTTCAAAGCTTTTGATTTTGAATTGCCTTATTTTAGCTGTATAGTATGTTTTTGTGGCTGTTAAAAGTTAAGTGCTCGTAAGAAAACCATGAGCGTAAATTTTTTTTGGCTTTGTTGAAGTTGTTGCGTTTTCAGTTTGTTTAATTTGAAAGTAAATCGTTATTTTGCTAATTAATTTTTTCCGTGTTGACCTTGAAATCCTCTCTTTGAAACATCTGAAATGTTGAAACATTTTTCTGCTTATGCGTGTTTTTTGTTTGAGCTTTCCTTAACCTAACTACATTTCTTCCGTCTGTTTTTAAAAAATTGATATCAAAGTGATGACATTATAATTTTTGATAGAAATGGAAAAAGGATATTGTTTTGTGGATTTTGCATATATATTAGGATTTGAAAGTTGATAATTTAAATTTCACATTAGGATTTACTGATCGTGTTGTCTATTTTAGATGTAGGGAATTAAGGTTGTATTTGCTTTTTTTTTTTGCAGTGGAGTTAAATGTTGTGGTTTAACGTAAGAAATTGAGTTAATTTATATTAATAAGGCCTATTTTTAAAACGAGCGGATATTAAGTAAGATTTAGGAAAAGCAGCACGAATGAGAAATAATTTTGAAATGAGCGGATACGTCGGAATAGCTTGCGCATTTAAGAATGCGCTGTACGTCCTGGCACATTTAGGAATGCGCCATGTGCTTTGGCGCATTGTCGCGAATGCAAGGTGTATTCGGCTATGTGCAGACCAGATCCGAAGAATACGCCTTCAAGTACGGCGTATTCTGCATGCAATTTTTTAACCTTTTATTTAATGATTATTTTATCAGCAGCAAACACATTATAGTAACTTGATTTAACCTTTTCTCGGAACACCAACATTTAACTCGGATAAGAAGAGAAACCTGATAACGAGAGAAACCTATGAAGTTTCCAAAAACAAAAAAATTGCATGTAGAATACGCCGTACTTGAAGGTGTATTCTTCGGATATGGTATGCACATAGCCGAATACGCCTTGTATTCACGACAATGCACCAAAGCACATGGCGCATTCCTAAATGCGCTAGGACGTACAACGCATTCTTGAATGCGCTAGCTATTCCGGCGTATCCGCTCCTTTCCAAATTATTTCTCATTCGTGCTGCTTTTCCTAAATCTTACTTAATATCCGCTCGTTTTAAAAAAATAACCCTATTAATAATTACGTGGTAAAGTTAGATTAGGGTTCATTATTTAACTTTAAGTTGAACTTAGTATTAAGGTGGAACTAGGATTATGATAGGAAGTGCATGTAGAAATTTAGGAAAAGCCTTGGCTAAAATAAACTTTTTTTGCATGATTAGGAGATTGGATAGGAGGGATTTGTTCATACGACTTTGCGTTTGGGAAGACAACTTGTGGCGTTATTTGAAGAACCTAGAGATATAAGATAGAATCGTCATTGGAATCCTTATGGGTAGGTTCTAAGAATCAGTTTGCTACAGTCTAAGGAGAACCTAGGAATTAAAACATTTGATTTGTCATTTTAAAAGCTTCATCATGCACCTAAGTTATGGGTCGGTGCTCTTGTTCCATCAACTTGCAAATTGCACTAAACATGCCTAACAAACTTCAACATGCGATGGGGTGTAATCTATAAGCTTCTTGAAACCATAGAACACTTCATCTTTGATTTACAAGCATTCATGAGTTTGGTGGACACATTTATGACTTTACAAATTTTAGGCATATAAACATCATAGTCATTGACATAAAATATGCATTCATGTGAGATTTGAATGAGGAATATATCCATGCCAACTAATTTAATAAACAAAGCATATGAATGAAAATTTCTTGCTTTGACTCCCTAAATTTAGAGAAGCTTCAATGATGATTCCAATTAATCTATCGGTTGTGGGATTTAAAACATGAACCAAGAATGTTCATAAGAGATCCCACAACTTCATAAAATAGTTGAAACATGTGTTTGAACATCTAGTAATTTAGAGGAGATCATGAATGTTATGGCGGTTCAAACCTGTTACATGCATGTACTAGTTTGTCATAACATACAAGTCTAGAGATCTAACGATGCATGCCACACTTGGAAAAGAAACTCTATGCCTCAACACTTCGTTCTACATCGAATGAAACCAACTAACCTAAGGTTTGGTTGTAGGTGAAGGTATTAGACATGACATGAGTGCATTGCATGCAAAAATAGGGACATTGAATGCAAGTTCAATGACCCATCGTCTTGCCACCATCCTTATTTTGCTCTCACATGAAAGCAAATCTTGAGAAACCACTTGATTTCCATGATTCAAGCTAGTGGACAGCTGTATATAAGGGATTTTCTTGGGTTGGAAAGTAAAAAAGCAAGGGTTTCTATGGACCTAAAGCTTTGGATCATCAACCACACATCAATTGGCTAGGGGGCCAAAGGGCTTTCCTAAGTTTTTAAGATTTTACCTCGCAGGGTTGTCACGATGCTAACCATGTTCCACTCGCCTAGCAAAGGTGAGAAAATTGCAAGAATTTGCTGTCCAACTCGCTCTAAAGTCCCCAAACTGCTGCTTGGAAGGTCTAAAAGCTTCCTTGTTGCCTCGAGGTCGCCGACGTTGATTTGGAAGAAAGTAGAGGCTTCCTATCTCCCTTTTATTGTAATAGGGACCGATTAAAGCAGCCCTTTGCTCTGTATTTCGGGAGGAGAGACAACCAATAGCCGCAAAGGGAAGTTTCTGCTTCTCAGTTGAAGGAAGGAAGCAATGGCAGTGGGGGAAACCTTCTTTTCAGTTCAAAGAAGGAGAAGGCAGCAGCTAGAGAAGACAATATCTACTCTTCACTCAGACTCAAATCAGCGTCGGATTGCGTCGAATTTGGTTCAATGAGGCTCGACGAGGCCCAATTGGGTTCGATTTGAATCGATTTTGGGTCAATTTGATCGATTTGATTTAGTTTAATTTAATATGAATTTAATTTGTTGAAATTTGGGTCCAATTTGATTTAATTTTGTTTTGACGGTGTTTAATTGAATTGATCTACCACGATCGAGCCTATTTGGGCTCAAATCGACTCGATTCGGGCTGAAACGGCCTTGATGCGAAAGTGTTTCAACAATCAATGTTAGATTAAGTTTCAAATATTTGTAGTGATCCCGTCATATAATCAGATGTTCATGTATCAATAAACCAACAAGTTTCAGTTTTTTAGATTACAAAATAGCTTGTATTATCTTGTGGCGCCATGGTAACCATATATATTTTCTCTTCTTGAGTATTGCCTTCATTTTTTAGTCATTGGTTGACAAATTAGTTTGCAAAATGTCTCTATTTGTTGAAATGTGAAACTAAGAAACTTTGTTGGATTTTTTCTTCAATGTAGGATGTCCGGTTTTTTCATCTTTGGATTTTAGGATTTCGATTATTTGTTTTTTCATGTATCTTGTAGCATTGATCACATATATGATATTTTTTGTGACACTCTCATACAACGCATTTTTTTAGCTTAAGAGATTTGACCTCTGTATTTCTTTTAAGCGTTCATTGTTGTGAAGTCATAATGTGCTGTGGATCTAGTAAGTGCTGAGCTTTGGGTATCTAATGAGTTTGGTGTTTTGCTCATCATTATTTGTCTTCGGCTTTCTTTTCTTCTTCGTCAAATGAGTCTCTAGTTGTTGGGATAGGCTTCATTTCAAGCAATTTTTCATGAATTTCTTCTAGACCGGAGTTCAGACCTTGGGGGAAATTAAATATTCATTCTTTTTCCAACATTTTTTTGTATATTTTTGCATCGTTCTTTCATAGAATAGATCTATTTTCTTCTAAAATTCAGTTAAAGAATTGTTAGTATTCTGTGACAATTTTGTGACCATGACGAGTACTTTTTATTTTAAATTTTTAATTCTAATCTTAAAACATTGGCTTGTGTTTTCTACACCATAGTAGATCTCTTGGACAACATCCTAGATCTCCTTTGTAGTTTTGTAGCAAAATATGTTCATCTAATATTTTGCTCTATGGAATTTATGAGTCAGGCCATGATATTTGCATTCTAATCTTCCCAAGAATAGTAATTTGATGCATGTTTTGATGATTAACTTGTGATCATATATCCAATCTTCCCTCTTCCTATTATCACAAGCATGATATGATAGATTGGAATCATTCAAAAATATTAATTCAATTAAACTTTGTTGAGTGATTTGGATGGATTGACTTTCATACATAGGACGGAAGTTTGATCCAAACCAACAATAGTGAAGGTCTTGCTTCTCATGGAGAAGAATTTCTTAACTATCGACCCCTCTTGGTGTGCCATGATCATCTCAGGATTTCGTGTTATCACCTTGAAATCCGATCTGATTCCATGAACAAAATAAATGCTTCTTTGAGTTCTGTTTTTTTAAATCACATCACTTTAGTCCCTTCATATAAAAGGTCTTTATGAAGATATTTTGATTGATAGCATTGTTAATTGAGAGGAAAAGTCAAAATACTTCTAAGAGTTAGGTTGGGTTAGTGATGGCTAGTGGCCAACCTAACCCCCCCCCCCCCCTCTCTGTGGTTGGGAACTTGGGATGGAACCTTGGTGGATCTGTTTCCTTTGTGGTTGGGAACTTGGGATGGAACCTTGGTGGATCTGTTTCCCCTTTCATCCTCTCTATATCTATCTCTCTCATGAGGTAGATTTTGATAAAAAATATAGACTACAGTCATGCGTATTGCCATGGGATTGTTGTGGGCGCTTGAAAAATAGAGAGGGTCACCTTAAAGATCTAATGTAAATTCCGGTAGTTTGCCAGAGGGATGCATATGCAGTAAGTTGCTTGGGACCTTAGTGAAATTATTTAAGAAATGCGAACCAACAAAATATACCTTTTAAATATCAGGGGCCAAAAACCCTGATTTTAATGTACTCTGGGGAGCAATTGTGATGCATAGTTTGGTTATGTGATTAAAGCCACAAGTTCTAGAAAGCTTACATACAAATGTAGAAATAGCAGGATACAAGAAGAATGGTTATTGCAAAAACAAGTATATATAAAAGGGAAAAGTTCTACTTCTTTATTATCTTGTTAATGAGCTTTAGATGGAGGACATAGAGGTATACATATCTTGTTGAAAATGATCTATTGTTAAAAAATGAGTAGTCTTAAGTAATGTTTTTAATCAGTTTCCTTCAGTACATGCTGTTCTAACACTAGGTTTTTAATTTTGTTTTTGCTTAAAGAAAGATAATCGATCACTAAGGCCCTGCTAGTAACTTTAACATTGGCTTACTGACCATTGCAGAGATTTCACAAACCAAGAGCTAAAACACCAAAATTTAGTTTTTTTATCACATTAAGGCTTCGTTTGGGACAGCTTTCTTACCGCTTTTTGAAGCAGCTTTCTAGTATAAAATTTTTAAATTTTGTACTAAAAAGCTGCTTTAAGAAGCGGTAAGAAAGTCGTCCCAAACGAAGCCTAAGAATACTAAACTTCATCAGCTTTTAAAAAAGAAACAATTTTTGTAATAGCATAAGTTAATGATAACTTCATTGCTTCTTAACAAAAGAAATACATATGCAGTCATGAACACTCAAATACTAATTTAGGTTTTGTAATTCAAATTTGTATTTGCATTTCAGACTGTTTTAAGGATCATGGTTAAAATCATGTGCTCAACAGGTTCTACAAGAAAGCATATCACCAGCTTTTCAAGGTGAGTGACACGTGTAATGGGCGAAAACTTCTACTTTCCAATTGTGAAGACTATGTCTCAGATTACCATTATTTTGGGTGGCTGCTATTCTTGGCGTTGCGTACCAATGTATTTAGCCGCTTTAAAGATCTGGTTACCTATACTAATGCATTGGTGTCAATATTGGTAAGTTCTTTTGTTTTGCTTATTTTGCACATGTGACTTTGCCACATGGCTTAGATATCTAAATAAAATTCTTATTGATTATTTGATTTGCTTTTGTTCTTGTATAGGCCATTCTTATTCTGCATGTTCCAATAAGCTTGAGGAACTTTCCTATTTCAAATTCACCTTTCTTTAGTAAGTTACCTTGATTTTATGTTCTATGGATTATAACTTGTCTTATACATTTTCGTTACAAATGCTTATTGTGGAATTTGCCTTACCATTTCAGCCAAGAAGTCTGACAAGGGTGTGGATCTTCTTGCTTCTTTAAGCCAGAGCTATGATGCTTCTGAAGTGGAGTTGAGGAGAATGATGGAAACAGCTAATAAATTAATCGCAGATGTCCTGAAGAAGAAACCATGCCATGCTTCAGAATGCAAAACAGAAAATTTATATGACATAAACACAGGTGTTCATGTTACTTTGATAGTGCTTGGTTATGATATAGCAACTCAAAATATTTCTGGTTTCATTTTCTCATACATTTTCATTTTAGCACAATAACAGATGAGCTGACATACTTCGAGGATCTGTTAGATGAGAAGTCACTTCAGAGTAATTTACTTATTCTGAATAGTGATTATGATGAAATCATCAAAAGCAAGTGTGAACTCGATGAGCGCATATTTCTCAATGTTGAGGATAGCTTAGATGCTAATGGAGGCTTAAACTTTTCTGGGGATGCTATCAGTTTGTCTCGTGAAAGGGTATGGTGGTATAAAGTTGTTTCAAGCTATTGATTCATTTCTGTTGACTTTCAATTAAATTATTTGTTTCATTGTTTCATAACTTTGATTTATGCTTTTCAGGATAATAATGCTGCGGTTACCACTCCAACAAAGTCAATAATAACCTGTGCTGCCTCTCATCCGGCTGCATCACCTGCCAATGGAAATTTTGTGGGCAATTCTAGGATGGTTCAGTGGACACCAGTGAGCTCCACCATGACTACTGCAAAGTGGCTTCGTGAAGTTGTTTCTCCATTTCCTTCAAGACCTTCAACAGGGCTTCAGCATTTCCTCGAATCCTGTGACACTGATTTAACTAGCACTGTTATCCACAGGGCCAACATCATATTGGAGGCCATTTTCCCTAGTCATTATGGAGAACGGTGCATTTCTGGAAGTCTTCAAGGCGCGAATCTTATGGATAGTGTATGGTCAGAACAGCGGAAGTTAGAATCTCTGAAGTTATATTATAGGGTATTGGAATCAATATGTAAAGCAGAATCACAGAGACTAAATGACAATAATCTTACTTCGTTATTATCCGGTGAGCGGTTTCATCGATGCATGCTTGCTTGTGCTTCTGAGCTTGTTTTGGCGACGCATAAAACTGTCACTATGATGTTTCCTGCTGTGCTGGAAAGAACAGGAATAACTGCTTTTGATTTGAGCAAAATCATTGAAAGTTTTGTGAGGCATGAGGAAACTCTTCCAAGAGAGCTAAAGAGGCATTTGAATTCATTGGAAGAGCGACTTTTAGAGAGCATGTCATGGGAAAAAGGTTCCTCTCTTTATAATTCCTTGATTGTAGCAAAGCCTGCATTGGCTGCAGAAATAAATAGGTTGGGACTCTTAGCAGAGCCAATGCCATCACTTGATTCAATTACATTGCATAAAAATATCGCTACAATAGGAACCCAATCTTCTACATCACAAAAGCATGGAGGATCATCAGGTAAATTTGATAATATAAAGATTCTCAAATTTTCTGTTGGATGAATTTATTCTTTTGCCGACCCGCTAGTTTTGAAATCTTATAGCTTTGCATTCCTTTCTGTTTATAGTCGTCTCTTTTGTAAAACTAGGTTATTGATGTTTATAGCGCCAAAGAGCTCTCTCACAGGTTTATGGTGCAGTCTTTCATAATCATTTGCTTTACCCTATTATTGGGCTTGCTTGATGAATCTTTATTGTTCATTCCTTTTGAGTATTTTGGTGGTGGTTAATATATTAAATGCAATTTTTTTTTTGCATACCTTCTATCCATGCTGGCTTTGGTTTTAATGTTTTGTTTTTTTGCAGTGCCTCTATATTAATTTTATTTTGTTTTTTAATTGGTTCATTCTATATGATAATTTTTTCAAGATATGCTATTTCCTCAATTCCCTTCATATATTATGATTATTTCTCAATTCATTCTTCTTAACTTTATCAGTCATCTATGTTAATATTTTATATTTCCACACTAAACCTATCAATGAGTTCTTTATCACGCATCAATTGTATCAACATTACCTGTTTAATCACCGTTTTGTAAAATTTATTGTGATATTTTCATTTTCACATTAATGTGCCCGAGCATTTCTTTATTATCATCTCAAAAAACTTCTTGGAGAACTTCTATGCAGTTTATTAATCCTCTTTCCTTGTGCTTGTATTATTCTTCAACTCTTGTTTTTGCACTTTTTGTCTCAGAATATGTTTTAATGTATGAACTTAATTTTGATGAGTCACTTACCTGGAGTGTTCGTGAATTAAAATGCACTGTTGTAGCGTTATGAATTTTCATTAATAAATTTGAAGTACTTACTCGAGGGAACTGAAGTTTGAGCCCATATGCAAATGAAGAGATGTAGGAGTATCTTATAGTATATTGACAAAATGCAGTGCTTTTGTTGGTGTTGACCTTTGCTTGTGTTTCACGAACAATTCAAGCAAGTGCAATGGGAAAAACACTCAACTAACACTATGTTACGTGAAATAAACTGTGCGCTATGAATCATATTATTGCAAATAAACATGCGACTATAAGATTTGTGAAATATTTGATTTTTTGTTCGCCTTACGCTTTCTATAATTTGAAGACCCAGTACTCTGCTAACAAGTGGCTAGAATTGATAATATTAAAATATCCCGATGATAGCTATGTTGAAGTTAAATTTCAATGAGAGGTGATTGTTTGCAAAATGCCATCAAATCCGTTCGCAAACCATTTTGGGCTTGAATTCAAATACTAGAATATCAAGAAGATTCATAAAAAGTTGATTTTTCCAAGTGAAATATACTTTCTATAAACTTTGAGTATAATGTCAACTCACACAAAAAAGTCTTGATAAGTGTATCGCTATGATTCATTTTCAAATGTTCTATGGCCAGTAAGGATGTGATGTGTGCTATCTAATGGGTGATTTTACCATCAAATGGTGCAACAATTTAACAATTATGATTGAGGATCTCTTATATGATGGTTTTTCTACAAAATGATACCATTTAATTACAGTCACAACCAAAGGATGCAAGTTCCTCAATGGCTTAAAGTGCAAGTAATGAATCATAGATTATAATTGGTAGGGCATAAAGCCCTTCATTAATAAAGGTCAATTTGAACTTATCCTCTTATAATAAAAATTCACGCTAATTCTATAAGATTCTTTTAGATGAAGTAACCATAATTGCTGACAAAAATCTTTCAGTTAGGTTGTTTTTACTATCTTCTCTGATTAAATATACTAGGGACTATGATAACCCGGTATAATATAATTATGAGATCTTGATTTGGTTCATTATCATTCCCCATAATTTGCTATGAGTGCTTGTTGGTAATTTCTGACCTAATATTAAATTTGTTGATACCATACGCTAAGCATCTAATGCCTAGTTAATGAAATGCCTTAATCGAAAGTTATCTCTTTTTCTCTGGAGAGGTGGTTAATCATAGGAGATTTTGCCAATGAAAAACTTGGAATCGGTTCATTAAGCCCTCACAAAATGAGGGCGAATTTGGGTAAAGTCTTATATTCAATCTAATATGCATTCTGAATATTGACTTGAAGGAGTTTAGACGCCTAAAATACTTACTTTAATTTACTTTTCGTTAATCTGATTTGTTTTCTATCCTGAAGATCGGTGAAATGAGCATGCTTGGATGAGTGGACTGCTCCCAAAGATTCAACAAGCTCATATTTTATTCTAGGATACTCTAGTTTGCAGAATATGTTTGATGTGATTTATGCTTGAACAGACTCTAATTCTAAAATGCTCGTTAGATGCGCTTAGTTTGACGGGTTATTGGATCAGCTTTCTCCCAAAAATTAGCTCGTCTAGATTGAAAAGGGCATAATTCAGGTCAACATTTTGCAGTATAATTTAAAGGAAAGGTTTTATGGATTTACTTGTTTTGATGTATTCTGTTTGGAGGGAAGTTGTAGGCCGTGCTTATCAATGACACATGCAATCAGATTAACATGTGTTTCTATTTGTAGATGTCCATGAAAATTGACAGTTTTAAATTTAAGGAAGATTGACAACTGGCGAGCCGTTCACATACTGTAGCCTCTTATTGTATATTACTATATGTTTTGTTAATCTGGTTTCATCGTACATATTATTCTTTGCATGTTAATACCAGTCAAATAAAGCTTGAGCACATAAATAGGACTAACTTTGCCGAAATCAGATGGATTACTAACACAGTCCTCTTATGCTTCTATTTCTGACATTTTTCCTTGTTATCTCTCGCACTTTTCGTTTGTAGATGATGTGTTTTCAACATCAAGGCTTCTTAATCTTTCAAATTCTTGATACAACTTATCATTTTCATGTGTGTTCTTGGTTTTAGGTCCAGATGGAGATTCCAGATCTCCAAAGAGATTATGCGGTGAAAACAGACGTGTAGTTACTGATCATAATATCTTAAAATCACCTGTGAGAGAAAACCTGACTAGCTTCAACAGTCCCAAATTGAAGTTACCATCTCTTCAGTCTGCATTTGCAAGGTTGTCTTCCCTTCTCTCTTTGTTTGAGCGCGGTTGCCTGTTGAGGTGTGCACATACTGACATTTTTCATATACTCTTAGCCCTGCATGTCCAAACCCTTCAACTGGTGGGGAACCTTGTGCTGAGGCAGGGATCAGTTGTTTCTTTAGCAAGGTAATTTCCTATGATAGATTCAAAAGTTTTTTCTGTTTTGTTTCTTCCATAAATTTAATTTTCCTGTGGTGCTTTACAGATTTCAAAATTGGCTGCTATCAGAATCAGAAGCCTGTGTGAAAGGCTCGGAGTGCCTCAGCAATTTGTAGAGCATGTCTACTTTCTCATCCAACAAATTCTTAATCAGAAGACAGCTCTCTTTTTCAACAGACATATCGACCAACTTATTTTATGTAGTATATATGGAGTTAATAAGGTGAGTATTTCATTAAGAAATTGAACAAAGGATTATCACTTTTTGTCCACTTTTTCTCAAAGATGAAATTTTTTTTGAACAGATCTTGAATTTAGATTTGACATTTAAGGCAATCATTTACAACTACAGAAAGCAGCCACAGTGTAGAACTCAAGTTTTTAGGAATGTTTATGTTAATGGGTCATCAATCCACAATACGGTAATGGCACATTGGTAACTTCTGTAATCAAACAACTCTTGCTTTTATTTTCTTGCTTGACATTTTCTGCTAACAGAAGAAGGGGCATGAACATATTGATATCATTACCTTCTACAATGCGGTATTTATTCCATCTGTTAAGCCCTTGTTGGTGGAGTTGGGTTCTTCTAAAGTTGAAAACAGTAATGGCTTGGCTCAAGATAAGTGTAACAATTCCATTGGTATGTTATCCTGTTATTGCTGCTTTGATTTCTATCATATTTACTGTGGAAGTTTATGCATTTCATTTTTTGCCATTTTCAGGCCATATTCCCTCGTCGCCCCGGTTGTCCACTTTCCCTAATCTTCCAGACATGTCACCAAAGAAAGTATCTGCTTCTCATAATGTTTACGTTTCACCTTTGCGGCAGTCCAAGGTTCGCCACCTTATCTCAGTATCTGTTTCACACACACACACACACACACATATATATATAAAACTAAAGTCATTGAAGTTTCTAAGCTAGGATGAAATTGTTGTCATTGTTGGTTGCTTTCAATGTAAATTACTTGTTGTTTAGGTGTTAGCTAAGTTGATAAAGATCTGGAAATGTTTGCCAATGTTTTGAGATCAAATGTCAATTGCATCAAAATCATGGGCACTCAACCTTTATTAAAAAAAAAAAAGGATCACTTTACTCCTAAAAAAAACTAAAGTCATTGAAGCAGGTGAAAATTTGTCTAGTTTGAAGTTGACATCAAAGCCCAACATGGGGTTTTGGTTGGGTGGCCACGCTTTGCCCAGGCGGGCTTTGCCCATCTGTGGTGACTTTTGGGATGCCGTACTCACTCATACCCACCTACTTTTGATGTTTTTTGAACGCGGTCTGCCACAGACTGATGGCCTTGAGGCTTGTTGCCATTTGCTATGATTGCAAACTTTCAAGGCGCATATCAAAATTACCACGGTCGCAGCGCGGTTCAGTGCTGCACACTGCGTAGTGAGGATTGTGGTAATATTAGGCATATGATGATTGACAATGTAACTCAGTTTATCCTGCGATGTTAAATGTCCATTCATATCCACTCATGAGGCCATGGGTGTACCCATACCCAGGTATGAGTGGGTACATGGGTGGGTGTGGGTATGGGTACCCAATGCAGGGCTCTGATTGACATGATTTCATATTAATACTTCTTGTTAAGTTGTTGAGCATTATTAATGTCATGTAAAAAAAATGCCTTGCATAGTCACAATATGTGAATCAAACTATATATTTTTTTTTATTATGGAAGGGATGCTTTTGTCAGGGTTTGATCATCAGAGAGATTTAAAAAATGTACTGAGCAAAAGATTGAATTTCTCTTGTGAAATATCATCATCATCATCATCATGAAAGTTACTGGCAACAAAAAATAATTATCAATTGAGCAAACATGTATAAAAATTCGTGGTTTATTTTTATTCATTTTATTTTATTTTCATTTATTTGCTCTTAGTGATTTAAGTCGGGTATCAAACCTACCACCAAAAACACTTTCACTAGCAAGCTCAAATGTCTAATTTTTGTCTTCATCTGTTTATCCAGATGGATGCTTTACTGGCCCCAAGTTCCAAGAGTTACTACGCCTGTGTTGGTGAGAGCACGCATGCCTTCCAGAGCCCATCTAAAGACCTTATGGTCATCAATAGTCGTCTAAATTGGTGCGTCTATCAAACTTATTTATGGCTTTATGAATCCATGACATCACAATGAAATTATTATTTTTTTTTCTAGGAGAAAATTTTGGTCAGTAAATCCCTGACTACATATTAGTTTTTATGGGTTCTACAATCATAGGATTTATTTTACGATTAATGCAATGCATGATCCTCTTATTTCAAAATAAATTCAACGTTTTTATTATAACATCTTCATTAAATTTTGATTGAGACATTCTTATCAAAGGGAATATTATTAGTATAATTCAAGTTGGATGGTTGAAGTGGAGGAATGCATCAGACTTGTTGTGTGATAGAAAAGTCCCCCGCAAACTTAAAGAAAAATTTTATAAGATGGTGGTTAGACCGGCAATGCTTTATGGTGCAGAATGTTGACCATTAAAAGAGAAGCATAATATTAAGTTAAGTGTTGCAGAGATGAAGATGCTCAGGTGGATGAGTAGCTTTATGCTTAGAGACAAGATACGAAATGAGCATATACGTGAAAAGATTGGAGTAGCTCCAGTGGAAGATAAGATTAGAGAGAGTCGCCGTAGATGGTTTGGTCACATAAAACAGCGGCCTTCTAATGACTCGATTAGGAAAGTAGATGCATTAGATTTGACTTTTGTTAAAAAGAGTAGAGGTAGATCTAAAAATACTTGGTTATAAAATATTAGAAATGACATTTCTTTATTAGATTTAAATGAGAATTTAACTTTTAACATGACACAATGAAGAAAAAGGATTCGCGTAATCGACCCCACAGTGGGATAAAGGCTTTTGATGTTGTAGTTGTTCTTTTATTCTTATCAAAATATGTTCCTTTGTTTAATTCTCTATTCTTTCTTTCATCTGTTTCTGCCTGATTTTTTTTCTTTTTTGATCTTCTGAAATCTGAATGGCAGTGGCAGGAGAGTTGGAGGCCGGCTCAACTTTGATTTGGTGAGCGATTCAATTGTAGCTGGTAGCCTTGGACCTCAAAATGGAAGCTCAGGCTCCTCGGCTGCTGGCACTGCTACAGACGTCACTGTGAAAAGTGAACCACCTGACCTTTGATATTTATATATATGGGCTTCCCTTTTCATAAAAAAATCAGTTTTATTTTATTGTATACTGAATGTGGAAATCATGTGTGAGCAGCATTGCTTGTGCATTAAATAGTTGGCTGCCCCGTGAGTCCCTGTATCTATCTCTATCTATCTTTATCTATATTAGTTGTAGATCTCTGTAAAAAGAGATGGAAGAATGGGAATGAGGAGTCAAGTTAATAAAGATTCTTTCATTTTCTTTTTACAGGTTTGACTGTGTTAGTCTCTTTTGTTTTAACTTTATATTCGTCTAACTATGACTTCATTTGCCACGGCTTTCTTATTGCTGCTTAAAAGTAATTTTTTAGTAAAAAAATAATTTTTTACTAAAAAAACTGCTTTAAGAAGTTATAAAAAGTTGTCTCAAACAAGCCTATGTTTTTAGAAAGTTTTTTTTTTTTTTTTTTAGAAATTTGTCCCAAATGAAGCTTTAGTTTTAGAGTATATTGTTTGTCGTTCTAATTTAATCTCTTTATTATATACAATTTTCTCAAAATATTTCTTCATGTTGTACTTGTTATATAAAATTAATCTTAATTTGGGACGGCTTTCTTATTGTTTCTAAAAGTAGTTTTTTAGTACAAAAAATTTGTATTAGAAAATTGCTTTAATAAATAATAAGAAAGTCATTTAATCTAAATTTATAATTATAAAATAATGTTATTTTTTGTAGAAGCATCATGATCATGATAATTCTGATACCTTGTAGTTTGATGCAGTGGATCATTCAAAAAAGTTCCTAGAAGATTTTTTTTATATCAGGGTATAAATCTAATTAAAATAAATGGTATGTAAAAAATGTGAAGAACTGCCTCATGTGATTGATCCTGTTCAGATAATTAAGCTGTAAACAAACTTCTATTGATTTTAAATTTGTTTGACTCAATTTATAATATTTTTGAAGTTGATATTGTCAAATTTAGGCTTATTTGATTTTCCTCGGGTGCCTTGTTATTCAAGGCTTCTAAAATTAATAATAAATAAACAAAATAAAACTTATCTCATTGTGAATTGGTTATTAAGGTTTCGTTTGAGACAGCTTTCTTACTGCTTTCTACAACAGCTTTTTAGTTTAAAAAAACGGTTGAAAGCAACAAAAAGATAGTGGCCCAATCATGTCCCAAGGCTTCGTTTGAGATGACTTTTTAATTGCTTCATAAAATAGAGTTTTAGTACAAAAATTTTAATTTCTTAACAAAAACTCTTTTTAAAAAAATCAATAATCCTAAAATTGATGTAATTGATTATTGCATATGAAAAATGTTATACTCTAAAAAAAATTTCAATAAAATTTAAGGTAGATTAACTTTTCGTTAGATGTATCAATAAGAATTGATACGTACTCCAAAAATTATCTTGATCGGGCACGAATCTCGAGGCAAAAGCTAGTTGGAAACTTCAAAAATTAATTTTGGGAGCACCCGAACTCCGATTTCAGCGAGCTTATAGTCAAACTGAGCGTCTCGGAAATACGAACCCAACGAAACCAAGATCAACCCAATCCGAGCCCAAATGAGTCTGAATCAAGGGCTCAAAGCGCTGTTGGAATGTTCAAACCGTAATTTGAGTTACCAAACGGTCTCCGATTTTGACGAGCTTATACTCGAATCGAACAGCTCGACGAGACGAATCCAACAAGCCCAAGATCGCCAAATTCCAACATCATTAAGGCCTTCAAATGCCCAACGAACGGTGCATGATCAAAGGATTCGATATCGGCCGTCCATTCAAAACACTCCCAATTCGCCCCTGATCTCACGCCTATTTACAGGCTATGATACTCCATAAAAACTATAAATAGAGCCCTCATTCTACACCAAAGGGGCTCAAGTGAAGAGAGAGAAGGAGAAGAGAAGGAGGAGAAGGAAGAAGCTCCTCCTCGACCACCGCCGGAGCTCTTCCTGCCGCCTGAAGATGCCGGAACTCTGTCGGATTTTCGGGAAAAGCCGAAAATTTGCAGAACTTTGTAACTTTGTGAGAAGTTGATTGTAAATTAATCATCTTGATTTGTAAGACGGATCAACCTTTGTACTTCAAACAAATACTAGTGAAACTTTACAACTGGGCGAGACCCCATGGTTTTTTCTCTCTTTCGGGTTTTCCACGTAAAAATCTTGGTGTTCACTTCTCTTTTCTGTTTGTGTGCTGAATACTCGTACAACACTAGGACGCAAATTTACAAACTCTACCGCCGCGTATATTCTAGCACGCAACATGAACTTTTTTATTTTGTTATGACACTCATAGATATGATTTTTCCATCTAAAAATGCATATCCAAGTGATCAAAATGTATGTTGTAATTTTTTTTAAAGAAAATTGATGGAATTTACATGCAAATCTTTGAAAAATCAAAATAAAATAAAAAAGGGAGTTATCCCTAATGACAAAAGACAAAGATACTATATTTCAAAGATTCAATAGATCTTAACAAATTATTAAAGGCGTCATCTCATTGATTCTTGACCACTTAAAAAAAAATCGTAGAATGAATACTCGTCAATGTAGGCTAGACCAAAGCATAATCATCCTTAGCAATTTCTATAGCTGTAGGAGGAGGACTCATTTAGACCACTTTGATCCCTCAAGGTGTCACAATCTGACTCGATATCACACAGGTCATATCGTGTCCGATTTTGGCAAGACTGACCCCAAGATCTGGTCGGAGAAGTACTAAAATAAAATATCCAATTTATATACTACACAGAGACACTATTGAATTGCAATATAAAGTGGAAGACTATTGAATCTCAATATGATTTTCTATATTTCATTCAAAACATATATAATATGAAATTTAACTACAACAGTGCTTGATAACAGTGAGCACAATAAAAATAAATGTCAAGCATGCAAATATAAAAACTAACCAAAACATATCAATAGTACATATAAGAGTTTGCTATACAAAATACTTAGCACGCTCCTTACCCTTCCTTGGGCCTGAAAACAAAAGCAAAAGTAAGGATGAGCTAACACGGCTCAGTAAGCTATCGTAGTCTAAAACATAAATCAATAATTAAAATCAAAAGAACTGAGAACATTATGCTGAATTATATACTGAAATTAAATACAATTAAATAAATACTGAAATGAATTTGAGCATTGCATATAATGGGATGAATCATCATCATGAGAGGCGGAACCAGCCTTAATTTTCATTGGGGGGGATGCAAACTCCCCCCTAGGCTCTTAGTAGATCCGCCCTTGATCATCATAGCCCAAAAAAAGAAAAATTCACTAATCACAACAATCAATAATATGAACCCAAAAACAAAGAGGTATAAAGATATATTGGGAATCCAGAAATCCTTTTCAATTGTCGAAGTGTATGTTCTGAAACAGAGGTGAACATGCAGCTCATCTTGCCCTGTTAGTTGGAACTGTGGCTACCAATCAAGATGTTCCAAATTTGAAGCTTGCATATATAGTGTCGGTGTTAATTTTCTTTAATTGGCCTAAATATCACCTTAAGGAAAAAAAAAAAAAAAAAAAAAAAAAAAAAAAAAAAAAAAAAAAAAAAAAAAACAGAGGTGACCCAACTTACACGTCCGGCTGCATGGGCACATACAAAAAAGCATAGAGAAGCACCCACCAGAAGAACCAGAATCATGACCCTCAATTTTCACACCCTTCCTTTCTATAGTAACCAAAGAAAAGGACCTATCCACAAGAACAGAACTTTGGATTACAAAGATGAGGCTTTCAATATCCACCAATCAAACAAACCCTCCATAGTCAGATAACTAACACCAATACTGCCTTACCCTCAGCGTCTTCATTCAAATCTCTGAACAAGGCAAAAAAGATAATAATATGGCTCTTAAGCTCTGGGCTTCTTCAACAGCCAATGCTCTGAAGCTCTCTAATGGCCGCGCAAGAGCCACCTTCTCCATCTCCAGATCCTTCTCTTCTGGTACAATCCAAAACTCAATTTCAATACTTAGCTGTTTGAACATCATGAAAGAAACGAATAAAACATTTCAAAATTTTCCTCCCTTTCTCAAAATAAAGTCTGAATCTATTTCCTGCAGTTTTGGATGGATTGAAGTACAGTTCTTCTCATGAATGGATCAAAGATGAAGGCTCAGTAGCCACCATTGGAATCACTGACCATGCTCAGGTGTTCATTTCTCTCTTGCATATGCAGAAAAACAGTAACTTTTTTATCTGTTTAAACTCCATCTACAGAGACTTTTTGCCGATTTATGTACTGATTTGAGTTGCAATAATCTCTTGCATCCATGGCAGGGCCATCTAGGTGAAGTAGTGTTTGTAGAGCTACCAGAATCCGGCAGCTCGGTGTCGAAAGGCAGCGGCTTTGGAGCTGTGGAGAGCGTCAAAGCAACCAGCGATGTGAACTCTCCCATTTCAGGGGAAGTGGTGGAGGTCAATAAAAAGCTCACTGAAACACCAGGCCTGGTATGTAAACTCCTACTGAAACTTCTCATTTTTATTGGTAAAATCAAGCAAAGAAAAAAAAAATCTAATAGATTTCTAATTGAGTTTGAATATAATTAGAATTCTAAATTCTTATTTATTTTTATTTATTAAATTTTCATTGGATTTAAGTTGTAATCAAATTTTAATTATGTTAATGTTAATAATTTAATTAAACTTGCATACTATTATTAATATATTTGAATTTATAGGAAATAATCAAAATTAATATAATTTGTTAAATATTACCAAAACAATCAATATATTTAACTAATTATTTCATATTTTTATTATATTTATACCTAGAGTAATACATGAAAATTAAAAAAAATTGCATAAATGCATAAAAATTAAGCAATAAATGAGAATTTTTGCGAAGTTTATTTATTAATAATATATATTTTTTAAAATTTTATTCAAATTTGTTTAATTACGTAAATAACGTAAATAAGCGAGTATTATATGAACGAGTATCGAATTATTCATAGAGTGCACCGATTCGTTTACGAGTTGATTAGTGAACCATTTTGTTCATTGTCTAAGATCAATTCGAGCCCTTATGAAGAAGGATGGATGATTAAGGTCAAGCCAAGCAACCCAACTGAATTGGACTCATTGTTGGGTCCAGCTGAATACACTAAGTTCTGTGAGGAAGAAGATGCTCATCATTAAATAGCAGCTGTTGGGTCCAGCTGAATACACAAAGTTCTGTGAGGAAGAAGATGCTCATCATTAAATAGCAGCAAGGCAATCAATCATATTGTTGTTCTTACTGTTTTTTTTTTTCTTTTTCTTTTTGTGCTTTGATGAAAAATTAATCATGTTGTTTTCTTTTCTCTCATCATTGTGTTGATGATTTGAAGAATAGCCTCATTAAATCTGAAAATTTTCAGTTCTTTTTATTCTGATCTTTTATTCAAGAAAATTATATATATGATTTTATTAAAAAGAATATGATTGTATAAAAAATTCTATAGAAAAAAAAATTATATAAGAGTATCTTGATAAAAATTATATTAAAGTTTCGTTTGGAACAGTTTTTTTATTGCTTTCTAAAACAGTTATTTAGTACAAAAAGTTTTAGTTCAATAAATTTTTGTACTATAAAGCTATTTTAGAAAGCTGTAAGTAGCTGTCTCAAGCAAAGCTTAAGATGAGTTTAAAATTTTTTAAATTTATTTTGATATTAGTGCAATATAAATTCTTCGCATGCAATATTAATTTCTAATAAAATATAATGATTTTTAAACATATCTTGATTTAATAGCCTCAAATAGTTTTATTTTCCCTGAATAAGTCTGATGGAGAGGAGAGAAATGCTGAGCTGAAAGTAGAGAGAAATATTGTGGTTGTGGGTGGTTGAAGGGGCAGGGAGACCCCTAGCCGATGAACTACATGAAGGGGAGCTTCTATGGTCATGAAGATAGTTCTCCTAATGGGCTTTTGAGTCAAGATAGTCTAAGGCTTCATTTGGGACGGCTTTTTAAATGCTTCTTAAAGTAATTTTTTAGTATAAAAATTAAAATTTTTGTATAAGAAAGCTGCTTTAAGAAGCAGTAAGAAAACCGTCTCAAACGAAACCTGAGAGAAAGCCAAGAATAGCATGGGCGACAGGAAGCAGACCTCACAGTATGGGTGAAATTGGGCAACACTTTCTTGGTCGATATTAGCGGAGCTTCAAAAATCTCATAGAGCAAGGCTTCCTTTAGGACAACTTTCTTATTGTTTTTTAAATTATTTTTTTAGTATAATTTTTTTTGAAACAACAATCAAACCTTTATCCCACTACGTGGGGTCGGCTACATGAATCCTTGTCTCTATTGTGTTATATTAAAAGTCAAATTTTCACTTAAATCTAATAAAGAAAGGTCATTCCTAATATTTTCTAACAAAGTCTTTTTAGGTCTGCCTCTGTCTTTCTTAACATAAGTCAAATCTAATACCTCTACTCTCCTAACCGGGTCATCGGAAGGCCGCCGTTTTATGTGACCAAACCATCTAAGACGACTCTCTCTAATCTTATATTCTACTGGAGCTACTCCAACCTTTCACGTATATGCTCATTTCTTATCCTATATCTTATAAGGGTAAAGCCACTCATCTCTGCCACACTTAACTTAGTATTAAGCTTCTCTTTTAATGGTCAACATTCGACACCATAAAATATTGCAGGCCTCACTACCACAATCTTATAGAATTTTCCCTTAAGTTTGAGGGGTATTTTTTTATCACACAACAAGTAGTCCGATGCATTCCTCATCTTCAACCATCTAACTTGAATTCTGTTGATAATATCTGCATCTATTGCACCATCACTCCGAACAATAGATCCAAGACATCTAAAACGTGTACTCTTATTAATGACTTGATCACCCGAAGTCACAATCCCCTCACTTGGTCTATTACTATTAAAATTACACTCCATATATTCCGTTTTAGACCTACTCAAGCGAAAACCTTTAGACTCTAACGTTGACCTCCACAATTCAAGTTTACCTTAAACTCCCTCTCTAGTCTTATCAACAAGAAGAATATCATAAGCAAAAAGTATACACTAAGGTACATCCTCTTGCAAATGTCTAGTGAGAACATCTATGACTAAACACAACTCTCCTTGACCTATTGGTTGAGAGCTTTGGCTTCCAACTAAGAGGTTCAGGGTTCGAGTCTATGTGTATGCGTTGTGTGTGTGAGTTTGCCTTAAATGGCCTAAATGTCCCAAAAAAAAAACATCTATGACTAAAGCAAAAAGATATGGGCTTAAGACTGATCCTTGATATCTAAAACGTGTACTCTTAATTTTTTTTTTAAACATTAAAAAAAAATAGTGATTAAAAAATGTCCCAAAGCCTTATAAGTTATCTCTGCAAAAAAGTTATCATGAAAGCCTCTATTTAGCGAAGTTATGGTGAACAAAAATAGAAGCAAGAAAAAGTGATTGTAAGAGATCATGGCTTAACAAGCTCATAAGGACTCCTTCCTTCATGAATAATGAATGTCTGCAGATGTCTTATTCCTTCACAGAAGAAACGCTGAAAATTATTTCAGAATTTCTTGCTGTAGATTTTTTTTTTCTTTTTGTTATTTCTAATTAGCTTTGTTTGGTACAACTTTTTTATAACTTTTTAAATCAATTTTGTAGTACAAATTTTTTTTAAATCAGTAAAAAAATAGTGAAAAAAAATTGTTCCAAATAAAACCTTAATCATTCATCTTAGTATGGTTATGATGAAAGACAAATAAGTTTGGATTCAATAATTTTTGACTTAAGAAAATAATTCCAATTAAATATGAAGATTCTGTAACTAGAACTTTCAGTAACCATAATAATAATTAGAAATAACCATTATTCAACAATATGCAAATGCAATCCAATTAATAGGGTACCCTTTTGTCAAAATTAATGGAATTTTTTGAGTTAGGAATCAAATTTTTGATAAAACAGAGTTCAAAACTACTAGATGTACTTAAAAATGAATATAATAAATATAAAAAATATATATTGCACAAATTTCAAAGCAAATCTGATAGCCCAAAATGTTACTTTTGAGTCAAATATTTTTATATTTTTTATTGAAAAAAATATATGCATTCATACTTAAAATAATGTTATGTTGATGTCTAAAATCATTAATATTCTTTTTTTTTTATATAAAATATGACTAATAGTTATCTCTAGTCATAACTAATTTTTATTACATCAATAATAATTTGAAAAAATATGATTACAAAATAAAATGTGATTAAAGAGAAAGATGCTGTCTCAAAATATTAATTTTTGTTTTTTATTGGAATATTATTAGTGATGAGATAGATAAGGGAACTCTCTGAAAAAAAAAAAAAAAAACTTTTATAATTCCATTCACTACCTTTGATTAAGCCAAATAATTTTTTAATTTTGATTTTCTATAGTATCTATCTTCTCATTTATCTTAATTTAGATTCAGATATTAATATTATCAATCTATTTTCTTGTATTTAACATATATATAATTTAATTAAGAAAAATTTTTGTCTTTAATTTTATCAATTAAATTATAATTAGTTTAGAGTAATATCCTGATTAATCACTAATTATAGTTTATATAGATGTAATAATCTTTTTTAATTTGAGCCTTAATTTGACTAGAGTTGAAAGTGATTTATTTTAATCCAATTTTTAATATTGGAATTGAAAATCTTAAATTATTTTTCTAAATGGATATAATGGTTGATATATAATGCTATTTCTACTTCATTGTTTCATATTGTGGCATTATTTTAATCCCAAAACCACTAAAATAGTGTAATACTTAACTTTTTCTAATTTATTATTTGTATGACATAATAAAAAATAAAAAAAAAATAAAGTAAAATATCAAAAGGATTTTAAATCTTTGCATAAATAATTTATTGTTGCTTTCTCACATTGCTTGACTTTTCTAACACAATATTTAGGTATGAATAGATATAAATTCTTCTATCTTTAAAGCTTAATAAATGGAGATGTCTATATCAAATGATGTTTTCTTACATAATTGATTTTTTTTTTAAATTCTTTTATAAGGAAAGCTATAGTCAAAAGTCATAGAAGGTGGCAATCCATTTCATCTAATCAAATATAATATCTTTGCCACAACTATTATATTTATCGTATCTTAATCTTAGGCTTTATTTGGGATGACATTTTTACTATTTTTTAAAGCAGCTTTTTAGCATAATTTTTTGAACTAAAACACTGCTTTAAAAAATAGTAATAAAGCTATACCAAGCAAAATCGTAATTAATATAAAATTTGTAATTGGGGCAAAAAAGAGAATATCAATCATCTTTTAAGTATAATATAAGAAAAGACCAATGATCAATTCTAGATTGGGTTTCTCTTCATTTTTAAGCTATTGAATAGATTATTAGTTTATTATTTGTCTATTGAATAGAATACTTTCTCCTATTTGTTATAATATGCTTTTTATTTTTGAACTAATTTCAAATATTATATTTTAAATTTGGTTAAATATTTTTATGTTATTAAGAATTTAAATTAATTTATATTTAAATATGACTTTAAACATTCATGTTTTATTTATCATGTTATTAGTTTTATTAAATGATATATTAATTTATCCTTTTAATTTAGATATTATGTCATCATAATTTATATTATAACTAAAAACAATTTAAAAAATAAAAAAGGGAATAAATCAACAAAATTAAAATTATTTTGTAATATTTATTTATATTTTTATTATTCCATCCTATATGGGTCTTATAATAATAGAATTTAAACTTTTTTTTGAACTTTTAGTAATAGTAATAATATTATTTTTTTGTATTTTATACATTTAAAATATAATTTAAAAAAGGATAAATTAATTCTGAAAAATAGATTTAAAGTTCTCACTGAATTCCAAATGAAAAAAAAAGTTTATCACTGAATTTTAATTCCTATAATATTTCATTCTTTTTGGTCAATTTTGTAAAATAAATTAATATATATTTCCCTTCCTATGTGGCTATGTCCCTCCCAACTCCCAGCAGCGAACTTCTAAACCACTAAAAGCCGAAGTTTAACGCCTACTTATGATGACTACACAGATCTCAAAGCAACGCCTCGTCAAAGTCTCAGCATCCAACGGTTAGAAAACTTATTGCTGACAGTTTGGCATTAAAAAAAATCCGAAATGAATATTTCTTCCTCGGTAGTCTGTAGTCTTACAGTGGAATCGGCTCTTCCACGCCGTGAACTACTAAACTTCAGCACGCCGCCGGCTGTCGTAGCCAGCCGGCAGCAGCACTCCTCTCTTTGCCCCCAAAGGCTTCTTATGTCCTGTAGAAGAAGAGTTTCCGAAATCTAAAAGGTTAGGGTTTTCCTCTTCTACTTACCAAAGATGATTTTGCATTTTCAGCTTCGATCCCCCTTTCAAGCTTCGCTATCCCTCCTTATCCTCCTTCTGTCCGCCTTCCTTCGCCGGTCGGAATCCTCCTGTCGGAGTGGCTGCGACCTCGCCCTCGGCTCGTATTATGTCACAGCTGAATCCTCAAACCTCACATACGTCGCCCACTTCTTCAACCAAAGACCGGCCGAGGTGCTGCCCTACAACTCTCTTACCAACCAGGACAGCATCATAAATGGTGAACGCCTCAACATCGGCTTCCCCTGTGAGTGCATCTCCGGCGATTTCTTCGGCCGTAATTTCTCCTATACTGCGCGGTCTGGTGACACTTATTATATAATTGCTACCAACTACTATGCCAATCTTACCACCGCCGACTGGCTTGCGGCCACCAACAGCTACCCTGCATCTGGAATCCAGATCGGAGACCTTATTAACGTAGTTATCAATTGCTCGTGTGGGGATCCCGGGGTGTCGATGGAGTACGGCCTGTTCGAGACTTACCCGCTTCGTCCGGGGGAAACCCTTGATTCGGTGGCAGCGGAGTTCAATCTATCCTCGCAGAAGAGCTTGATTCAGCAATACAATCCCGGGAAAAATTTCAACGCTGGGACGGGGATAGTTTTCGTTCCCACAAGAGGTGCGCGCCCTTTGGAAACTGTTTTAGAATCAAGTTTAAAATGATTCACACGTGAAATAAAAATTTTACTACCTTTTTATTTTTATTGTAGTTTTCAATAACTGGAACTCTAATATCCTGGCTGTCCTATAATCGGACGTTTGCTCACTGGAGGTTATGTTTTTCAATTGAATTGCTGATCTTGTTTGTATCTTGAAAATGATTAAAAAAAAGTTTCTCAAGTTGGTATCTGATAGAATCTATTTCTTTTGAGCTTGAAAAAAAAAAAAAAACTTTCCATGTGGTATTATCATGTTAATTGAATAATGATTAGGGGCAGGATGGATAGTTTTAGCTGATGTGAAATTGATGCTTCTCAATTAATAGTGTTGGATGGTAAGTGATATGTTAGAGACTGGTTTAATTATTTTAAATTATCTATTTAAAGAATGGGGATATACGAGTACTTAATTTTTACAGAGTTGGGTCTCCATAATTAAAACTATTGCCTCAGTAATATTGCCAATAAAGGAATACCATGATGACTTGAAGCTATGTTTTTAAAGCTACAATTATACTAGTTATGCTTCATTGTTAAGAGTAGCAACAATAATAACATCAAGCCTTTATCCCACTACGTGGGGTCGGTTATATGAATCTTTTTTTTTTCCGTTGTGTTATGTTAAGAGTCAAATTCTCATTTAAATAAAAAAAAGGTTATATCTAATATTTTCTAACCAAGTCCTTTTAGGTTTAACTTTACCTTTCTTAACATAAGCCAAATCTATTATATCTACTTTCCTAACCGGGCCATCGAAAGGCCGCATTTTATATGACCAAATCATCTTAGGTGTCTCTCTCTAATCTTATCTTGCACTGGAGCTACTCCAACTTTTTCACTGGTGGTATTGCATATTCTCCATAAGTATATCCTTCAATTTGTAAGTATTATGATGTACTATACATTGATTTGAGGCATCTGAGGATTCTATAAGTAGTTTGAATGTGAGACTGATTGGGTTTGACTGATGAGATAATTATAAATGCGATGTTTGGATGAGTGGGGGATAGATCTGTAATTTTTTCAACTAATATTTGATATCGTCCTATATCTACTTCTTTTTCATCTTTATCTACATTCAATTTTTGACCTGATTTAGTTAGGGTTTTACAATATTTGCATTCGATCATTTTTTATTTCTTTCAATAGATCCATGACATATTTTTTTTTGATAGAGAATAATCTTTATTTTGATTAAGTAACTTGTATTCTCATGAAGTATTTGAGTTTGTCACACTCCTTAATTTCAAATTCTTCAGCAAGCTTTTTTATGAAAGTCTACTTTTTTCAATTGTAATCACATGTAGCAATTATATCATCAATATATAGGATGAAAATTAAAATTTTTCCTTTTTTGGAATATTTTAGGAAGTGAATATGATCTCCATGGTTTTGTTTGTTTCCGGTTTCATCTATGGATTTTATGAATTTGCCAAATTATGCCCTTGGAGATTAATTATGGTCATGCTGAGCTTTTTTTAATTCTCACACTTTGTTCTTTGTGAAAGAGCAATTAAATTTAGGTGGTGGATTCATATAGACTTCTTTAACATCCCCTCAATGATGCATTTTTTACATCACATGGTTGTGTGAAAATGTTGGAGTAGCTCCAATGACAGATAAGATTAGATAGGTTGCCTTAGATGATTTGGTCACATAAAACTTCGGCCTTCCGATGACTCGGTTAGAAGAGTAGATTTATTAGATTTGGCCTATGTTAAGAAAGGTAATGGTAGAACTAAAAAGACGTGGTTAGAAAGTTTTATAAATGATATTTTTTTAATTATATTTAAGTGATAATTTGGCTCTTAATAGGATACAATGGAGAAAAAGGATTCATGTAGGCCGACCCCACCTAGTGGGATAAAAGCTTGATGTTGTTGTTGTTGTATTGTTGCATGGACAATCTACAATTGATTGCAAGTGAAATTAAAATAAGTATTATATTCATTTTTGTAATAGGAGCAAAAGTTGCTTAACAGTCAATTTCATAGAATTGAGCATATCCTTTGGCTATCAATATCATTTTATACCATTCTAGGTTTTCATATGCTTTATATTTTATAAAAAAATTCATTTGCATTCTATTATTTTCTTTCCTTTTTGCTGGTTCAACAATGTTTTAAGTGTGAATTTTTCAGAGTATTAATCTCTTCTCTCAAGACATGCTTTCAATTCTTGTTTTCAATTGTCTCAAATAGAGTTTGTGGTGTTGTAATGGAATTGATGCTTATAATTGTAAGGAAGCTTTTATGGGTAGGGGAAATTTTTTGAAAAGATATGTATTGGGATGAGATACATAAGAGAATATGTAATGATAGGTTGATCATTGTTATCTAATAACAGTTTCGAGCCTTGAGCTTACTGGAGATTTTTGTTGGCTTATATTTTTTTTGTATAAACTTGAAGTGGTGCAATATCTGATTTTTTTGGAGTTTATATTGTAGAAAAGATGGAAGATAACTCAAAGATATGTTTGATTGATAGTACTTTTCTTCTCATCAACGATGACATCTTTTGAAGTAAGAAAATTTTTGGTAGTAGGATGATATTATTTATATCCTTTTTGAGTGAAGAAATACCCAATAAAGATATATTTGACATCTCTTGGATTAATTTTACAGCAATGTTATTTATGGATGTGGACAAAGACGATGCATCTAAAGATATTTGGATAAATGTTGTAGTGGAATATACTTGTAAATAAGAATTTAGCTAACAATATAAAGTATTTTTGAAGTCAATTACCTTTGAGGGTATTCAATTGATTATGTATGTGATAGTTAGGATTATTCTTCCTAGCACATTTTTTCACACTTGATTTTAGAAAAGAAGAGTCTTAGTGACTTCTAGAAGAAGATGATTTTTTTTCTTTCTACCGCTCCATTTTATTAGAGATTGTTGGCGCAGGAGGATTGGTGGATAATGTATTCTCTAAGAAAGACAATCACACATGATTATAGTAATACGAGTATTATCAGCCTACAATATCTTGATGTTTGCATGTAAAATTTTTAGCTTCATGACCATAAAAATTGATAGAATAATATTGTCATTTGATTTTTGTTTGATAAGATATATGAAATCATCAATAAAGCTGACAAATCCTATAGTTCTAAAAATATCTAGTATTTTGAAAGGCCCTCAAATATTAGAGTAAATAATTAGAAAATGAGTAGAGAATTTATAATCACTTTAAGGAAAAAGCCTATTGCAGTAGTCCTTTGGTTTTGGTGTTGGCGGTTGTCATGACAGATGTTTCAAAAATTGTTATGTCAAGCATTACTATCATTCTTCTTTCTTTGGCTTATATGATAGAAAAACATCATTTAGTGATGGTAGGTTTTCTCTAGTTAATACATAAGCACTAACTTGAAAATTTAATCCATTTATATAAATTGCTTGAGAATTATTGCATCATCTTAGCATATCATCTTAAGATATTAGTAATAATCCAGTTCTAGCCGATAAACATTCATTGTGTTAATGTACTCAATAGCATGAATGTCACCTTGCTTGTGATTGAAATCTTAGTTTTGATCTCATAGATGAGGGCATTATTCTTCACTTTTGAGTACATTTGTTTGACGGCATCCCAAGCTTCTTTTGTGGTAGAGAGGAATATATATGACCTACTATTTCAGGCATTATGATACTTAACAGCCATGTCATGGTCATGTGATGTGCTTCATTCCAATGTACAAACTTTGGGGCCTTTGGCTTCAGAGGAGTATCCACAATATGATGAATTTTTTCCTTTCCTTGAAGTAAGATCTTTATAATTTGGGACTCTTTAGATAGTTTCTCTCATTTAAGTGATATGACGCTTGTAGCCCTTAGAGTTCTCCCATAATCTAACTTTTATTATTCATGATAGTTGACTCTTTAGAAGGGAATTTAAAGAAATCAAACACAATGAATAGTAGAAAGAATCCAAAAAGGAAAGATAACACATGTTAGAAGAAGAAACCCTAACCTCGCTCTGATAACATGTAAAAAAAGTAGAAAATTTACTTTGAATTTTATTACTTGATATGTACAAAATGTGGATGTATTTATAGGCTTAAAAGTGTGTATATAGTTCTTAAAATCTTACAATGAAATTAAATTAAAGCTATTTATAAGAAAAGAAAATAGTCCTAAGTGGGGCCGACCAACTAGAAGGGGATGATGAGGCACATGGATTGCAATCTAAAGAGATCCAAAGGTTAGAACCCTTGATCTATTTGCTCAAGGGTATATTTCAAATTTGATTGATTTTTGAGTGCCACGATCATTCAACAACTCCGTACTTATCATCCTAGATGTCTGGTCTCCTATATTGTTAATCTCATCATTTATGCTGGTTTATGAGCTTTTTAGTAAAATCCATTGAATTCTGGTTCATCATTATATGAATATTAGATTAGGAAAGTTCCCAAAGATCTTATCCTTATCCTATTTTTGGAGATATTCTTCCTTAATATGGTCCATGCCTTGTAAGCAAATTTTCCGGATTGTCAACTCTCGTCTTTAATGGTTCTGTTCCTTTTCAGCTTTGAAGGTAACAAAGCATGTTTCCTATGAGGTATCCCTGTGCTGAGTTTTTGTTGTCTGTGCCTAAAATCTTTCAGCTCCCTATGCAGCCACGTTGGTTCTGTGGTATATTATGTTTATTGCTGGATTAGTGGTGTCTTAGTTGCATTTTTAGAGGGAAGACATATCAATTCGTGCCACTTCCACACAAAGAGGCGACCTTTTTACTTAAATATATGCATTTTAATTCTAGTGGTTATATTTTTCATGTTGTGTCATTAACCTTTGTTCATGATAAATTACGGCTGCTACTGACTTACAAATGGCCATTTGCAGATACAAATGGAAGTTATCGCCCAATTTCACCCAGGTAAATATATGGTGGTGGGATCGTAGCTCTGCCTCAATAAATAGTTTTTCCTTTTTCTTTTTAGGTTCTAACTTTTCCCAATTATGCTTCTGCAGCAAAAATGGTTGGACCTTCTTTTCTCATTTTCATGGTGGTATATCACCTAGTTAATGATTGATGAGCATGTAGGCGCTAACTGTAAACATGAACCTGGATTTCAGCAGGACTAAACGGTGGAGCTATTGCTGGAATTTGTGTGGGTGTTATTGTTGCCCTACTGATCGTTGTTATTTTCTTATATTTTGGATTGTGTGGGAAAAAGAAGGGAAAGAAGACATTGCTCCCATCATTATCTGATGACAGCACTCCAATGAGACATGGTATTCCTCTGCAAAATTAATGTCCTTTTTAGAGTTAATTTTTCTTAAAGGCTCTTTCACCTGCATTTTCTGGTCATTGCATACCCTAAGAAGTCTTGATGCCATACTTTTATTTTTCAAATGTGTTTATTAGATTATGCTGCTTTAAAAAAAAAATAATTTAGAGAGGCTATGATCTGTTCTAAAATTGGTTTAGTTTTTATTTGGACTGAATTTTTATGCTCAGTTTTTCACTATGTTATCCAACTTCAAAATGTTGATAGAACCGCTAAACATAACATGTGCCAAGTTCTTAGCGTCCATCAGGTCATCCTGAGTACCATTCACAGTGGCATTTTGTCGGTACAGCTCCATACCTACGTTCTCACCACATCTTGGCGGTCAAAGCTGCAGTCTAAGAAGACCACTAAGCTAGATTAATGAGAATCTAATAATGAAAATAACGCTTTCCTGAGTTGTGAGTGTTTTATTTGTATATCAGATAATCCACATACATGTGGAGATTATCTCAATGATTGCATGCTTAGTAGGTTAATCCTTATAATATATAAAGGTTTCCCGTTAAGAGTTTGTTCTAGTGCTTCTAGTTTGCTGAGATTTAAGATTTCATTGTAGTCCATTTTGAAAACTTTTATTTGCATCCTTAAACTCCATTTGAGATTCGGCCAGTTCTTTCATCCCATATAAGTTTTACCTGACTTTTATTTTTCTGTTAGTTAATCATGCTTTCTGACATGTCAGTTAGAATCGGATACAGATTTTTGCCAGAAATGTCTCAAGCTAAAACCAAATACTTATAAGTGAGATAGGGTGAGAGGAGAAGGCTAGGGAGATGTGGAAGAGAGAGAGAGAGAGAGAGAGAGAGAGAGTGGATATGTTTAGTTGGGATGGTGCACCAGCCATGTCTGTTGGTTAGAGAGAGAGAGAGAGTGTGCGTGTGTTTTTGTCTATGGGAGAGAAGAACAATGTAAGATGGTGATCTGGTGGTGGGGAACAAAAGAACTATACATGCATAATTAGGAACAATCTGTGTGCTCAACTTCGATCTTGGGAACACTCAATGAACCTTACAAATAATCAGACTTCAATCATTCAGAAATTTCAAAATTATAAGCTGTTAAATCCTATTTATAGAAATATTGTTATGCGGAGAAAGCCAAATTTTAAATTCAAACATAATTTAATCCTAATAAAATTCAAACCTTAAATTAATTAAAAGTGGGATAATGAAATCTAATAAATAAAAATCAATTAAAAAGCTTGAAAATTTGGCCAAAAATAAAAAAAATGCCCCGAAAAAGACTTGAAAATAGGCACAGTTCAATTTTGTTGTGGTCTTGTTTGACTCGTTGGAATTAGCCTACAAACATTTGGGCTTTGCGTTATAACTTAGCACAATTAATGGTTTGTACGATATTAACACTCCTTGGTTGTAAAATACTCATTTGGAGAGTTGATTCCATTTAGGCATCCAAGGCATCCAATAGCTGAAGGTTTAGCTTGTTTAGTTCATCCTTGGTCATCCATATATAACCTAAAGTAGCACCGTCTTTCCATTTGACTAGAAACTTGCGCTTAACATTTCTTTTCAATCATCACTTGGCTGAAATGATATTTTCAACATCTAGTAGGCAGATTGAACGTTCATCAATAAGATAATATATAATTATATATTTGTAGAAGCGATGACTATAGTAGATGTCCCTCTTGTAGAAGAATCAACTTGCAATTCTCAAAGTTCAAACATTCATCGAAATGATATTATATATTATAAATAGAACTAATAAACATATTAGGAGGAAAATTTAAAACACAAGCTCTAGAACCGATTTAATTACTATTTTTAAAAGGACTAGGAATGAAAAATTCTAGTTCGGGTCAACTCGTGTAACTGAATTTATTGAGTTCATTTCAGGTAGGCTTGAAACTAACTTATCACAACTTAAATGTTTTTATATCTTGTCAGGTTGGTTCAAATTTGATCTGATTCTGACTCAGTTAAATTTTTTTTACTATGAGCATTTTACTGTATCATCCAATATTTTGGAAGTATAATAAGCTGTTTTAGGAATCATTATGTTGATAAACATACCGCAGGCAGCTCTCATGTTTATTATAATAAGCTACTTGGTCCTTCTATTTGTCAGCAATAACAGCATTTTGCAATTTTATTAAATGAATAGGTTCAATCAAACCTTTGTAATATTGGGTAGAAACTTTATGTCATGGAATTGGAACAGATTCATCCATACCTTCATACCATAGACAACTCTCTTGTTTATTATAAGAGAAAAAGGTTAAAATGATTCTTAGACTATTTATGGGGGACTATTTTAGTCTCAGACTATGATGTGTTCAATTTAGTTATCTGATTCCTCAAATATGATCCAAACTAATTCTTTGATTTCTTAAATTTGATCCAAAATAATCAACATAGGGACTTTTTCCTGATCACGATTGTGGAGTCAAGCGACTAAGTTGAACACATTATGTTGTGTATTTGTTCCTAGATTTAGGATTGCTTTAGTTTTAGGTTTCTTGTTTTGGCATGTGTGGCCATTTTGTGTTGCTTTTGTGTAGCTGTTAGGTGCCTATTAATAGGCTTTAGCTTGTATTAGGAAAGAAGCCAAGGGAATAAAGATTTTGTGCATTTTTGGCTCACGGTTCTCTCCTTCTCCCCTCTCCCTCCTCCTCTCTCCCTCTCTAGATCTTGCAAGAAGAGCTTCCTTCTTGGTTTCTATAATATGGTATCAGAGCCCTGGTGGCGATCTTGAAGGAGGAAGGTGCGGCTCGGAGGCAAAAGTGGGCTGTCTCACCGGAATCCGAGCGAAAGCCGAAAGTGGCTAGGCGTCACGAATCTGGAGCTCGCGGGGGAGATCGCGTGGGCTTCTTGATCGGGACGCTAGGCTGGACGATTGCAAGAAAAGAGAGCAGGCGGTGAAGCCGGACTCGTCACATGAGATTCGGTGAAACTGCGAAGGCAAGAGGCGGAACAAATCATGCATTCGGCTGATGCAAGCAGACTAGTGGCAAGAAGTTCGACGGCGGCCTGAAGCCGGAGACGACTTCGGCAGGCAGCCCAAGGGATTCTTGATCGGTGGCAAGGCAGGTACCGCTGGTCTGCACACAAGAAATCGGAGGTGGCTTTAGGTGCTTGCAATTTGAATTTGGACGCCGGAGTTGGTTCATCGTAGTCAACAAAGGCGAACAAGAGGGATAGCTGAAGCTGCTTAAATAGGAGGTAACACCGAGTCTCTTATGTGGCTTGGAAAGCAGCCGATCAAAGGAGATCTCACCCGAAACGGACAGAAGGGTAGACCAGTTGATCTCAGCTGCAAGAAGCAGGGAGTGGTATTCTGAACGGAAGGAGGTTTTTTTGCACGGGCAAGGTCCGGTGTTTTGGCCAAAATCTGGAACAGGCAGATCTCACGGAGGCCGGATTTTTTGCTTGATCTTGAATCAAGTTTCGATCGGTTCAGATCTTTAAAGAAGAGATAAGATCTTCTTTGTGGTGGAGTTTTGGACTTCAGGTGGAGTCCGGGAGACACTGAGGTAGTGTCGACTGTTCTTGGAGAGCAGGGTTGAAAGTGCGGGGCGTTTGGAGATGCGAGGTCGTGTGGTGCACGAGGAGGTTGCATAGGAGCGCGGGGCACTGGTGACGAGCGGAGTGCAGGTGAAGGCGCAGGGCTCGCTGCACGGGTGGATACGTGCAGGATGTGGTCGGTGACAGACCACATGGGTGCAAGGCGCGGGCGCGGGCTTGTGGTGTATGACGTGAGCTAGAGGCGCAGGGCGCGGGCACTGAGGCGCAGGGTGCAGGTGGATGCACAGGGCGTGGAAGCCGGGTTAGGGGTGCTCGGGGTTGGCTGCGTTGGACGCAGTGCGACAGGAGATCTGTCGGGAGGTGGAGCTAGACTGTAGGTGGACGCTTTTGGCGGAGGAGACCGACAGGCTCATTCTTTGGCTGTTCTTTAAGAACAATAGTTATCTTTTGTTTTTTGTAAATCTAGGCTCAAGGTGGAGATTGTTGTGTATTTGTTCCTAGATTTAGGATTGCTTTAGTTTTAGGTTTCTTGTTTTGGCATGTGTGGCCATTTTGTGTAGCTCTTAGGTGCCTATTAATAGGCTTTAGCTTGTATTAGGAAAGAAGCCAAGAGAATAAAGATTTTGTGCATTTCTGGCTCACGGTTCTCTCCTTCTCCCCTCTCCCTCCTCTCTCCCTCTCTAGATCTTGCAAGAAGATCTCTCAAGAAGAGCTTCCTTCTTGGTTTCTACACATTAGATAGTTGGGACTAAAATGACCCCATAGAAATAATCATGGGTCATTTTACTTGTTTCTGTTTATTCTAATAAGCTACTTGGTCCTTCCATTTGTCAACCATAACTGTAGTTCATAAGTTTATTAAATACAATGTTTTCAAAAGGCTAAGCACAATGCCATGCACAAGAGTTTCTTTTTGCTTCAATCCAATGCGGAAAGCGAAGCACTGCTTTATAAATTAGAGCATTCAGGATTTGTATATTATATATGCATATATTTTGTGCATATAATAATCACACAATTAATCAAAATCAAATCATATATGATAATAATTTTCACTAAATATAATAATATGTTCAATGATAGTAATTTTAAGCTATCTAAAATCTCTCTCTCTCTCTCTCTCTATATATATATATTGCTTTTAGATAGCTTAAAATTACGATTATTGAGATTTTGTGACTAACTAGAGATCAAGAGTGTGTTAAGATAAAGCATCGAGAAGCTTTTTAATACTTATGAGCAAGACACTATTAGTATCAACAATAATAACAATTGAAAGCATATAAGAAAACGAGCTGGCAAGAGAGTGTAAAGAGAAAAATTACCAAGAAGTAACTAGGAATATTGGGAGTAGAACTAGTAGTTAACTACGCAATGACTACAAGAAATAGTCAACAACAACATTAAGCCTTTATCCCACTACGTGGATTACAAAAAATAGTGAGAGGCAAAAATATTTTCCAAAGTATTGAGGCAAATGTTGAGCCAAATCATGAAATTTGAATGATAATTTACTTTTAAGCTGGAGTCAAGTGCACATTGTTAAGGCACGATGTGGTGAAGGGGCATGAAATATATCCTTTGCTGTGAGCTTGGGTTTTACAGGCAAGCAATGCACAGGCTAACAGAATGCTTCGATTTGCTTCTAAAGAACACTTTTAAGCGTGCTTTTAGTAACATTGATTAAACGAATTGATTATTTGGTTTTATCAAACCATTTTAGTATTGGGAAGAACTTGTATATGTTGGAACAGTTTTCATCCATACCCTCATTGCCTAGCAAAAGTATCAGGCCCTAAGAATTACAATTTGGAGACCATTGGATGTTGTCACTAGAGATTGTCTGCTTCTCTTCTAATATAAAGTCAGTTTGTTTAATAGGCTTTAGTAGATTCGATACTTTAAGGTCAATTTTTTTTTTGTGGATAAAAAGAACTTTTAGTTTTTCTGTCGCCTATGTTTAAAGGCTGCCTAAGTTGTTACATTTTACTGTAGTTGCCTTAAACCACAGGCACTTTATTAGAACATCTAGTATTTAGGAAATTTAATAAGCGATAAAATTACCATAGACAAATCTCACGTCTATTTTAATAGACTATTCATAATAGCATACTAGTATGAAAGGTGCCAGTAATAGTGGCCAAAACAGAAGGCAAGAGTTGAGGTGCTAACCTTTTAACTAGGGCATCGGTTTTCAAAATATTGTCAAGAGTATATTCTTAAACAAACCTTTTTATAAGCTACAACACACCAATACGCACGGAATATTAAAAAATATACGGTGGTATCATAAAACATTAAAAAGGCATCCATAAATATTTCATAGTGGCAAACATTTTAAAATAATGCTTTTATGAAGAGATGTTATTGATAAAGTAAAAGCTGCCAATCAGTAGCATCTCAGGTGGCATTGCCTTTTGCATTCCAGTGAAAAGCAAGCGTTTAATTCCGCTCAAAAAAATAAAAAAATGTATGTTTAATACCTAAACAAGAAATATTAATAATCTCACACGTCATTTACATAATAAGTCAAACAAATATTATAAATAAAAAGTTACCAATAATGTAGCATAAAATACAAATTAATTAATCATGCAACAAACGATATAAATCTAGTCATAAGTATTAAAAACATAAAGGAGAAATGAAAAAAAAAAATAAACGGAGGGTGATAAAGAAGTATAAGGACAAGCTTGATATATTGCCCATCATGGTAAAAAAAGTAGAAATATGTTCGTAAATTAAAATAAAAAAGTAATTGATATTGTGAATAATTGAGTCAAATCTTCAATATCATTTAGCCTAAATTCCACCACCCATGTAAACAAGAAAACTGGACTAAGAAAATTTTAATAAATTGTAAATTGTACATGGCTTATCTTGAGGCTCTTGTCGCCTAAGCAAAGAGCACAAATGACATGCTTCATGCTTGTTCTTTAATATGAATTGCCTGTCAAGTAAGGAGTTAAGATGGCACGTGTCTGAGGTGTTAAGGTGCTAGTTAACGAAGAATTACTCGTATTGTTCTCATAAAATCCTGCTAAGCCAACTAATAAATTCCTTAAATATTCAACTAGGTTATTCCACTTTCTCTCCCTACCCTCTCTCTTTCTCCCTCTCATCATGAAATTACGGATGCACCCCCACATTTTGGTTTCTCAGATAATTATTTAAATGACATGATCTCTGTGTTTTAATATGCTTAATGCTTCTCCTTTTTATTTCTTTTGCAGCTGCCTCAGATAAAAATACAGCATTAGCTTCTCTAGAAGGCACTCTTGCCACAGCCACAAGCCTTAGTGTGGAAAAATCAGTAGAATTCTCTCTTGAAGAGCTTGCTAAGGCTACAAATGACTTCAGTATGGCTAACAAAATTGGTCAAGGCGGCTTTGGATCTGTTTATTATGCTGAGCTTAGAGGAGAGGTTTGTTACACTGAATTTTCATATAAACTACCACTTTGTGCCATAGTCCCATGTCATGCTATTAACTAGACTGAATTGTCATAAAAACTACAACTTTGTGCCATAGTCCTATGTCGTGCTATTAACTATAGCTAGTCATAGCTCATCTGTTTTGTTTGCTACATTTCTTAGTTCTTCATATTTATCTTAATGGTGCTGTGATTAGCCATTACAGAATTTCAGTGGCATACTATCTTACTCAGAGAGCAATAATCCTACTTGTAGATATCTCTTCAAGCCATATTCGACTACAAGAATCACATATGAAAATAAACACCTTGCCCTCCGCCAGCTACAATTGATTGAACCATTTCTTATGCATGTTTCATTGGTCATGCTAACCACTCACTCTTTGTAGAATTAATGTAGATCAAACAGGAAGAAAAGTGGTAGACCCATGAGCTGATCTACAATTAGGGCACTGTGGGCCTTTACCCACACTGGCTTAATCCAATAATAGTGATGCAATAATTTTTTTTATTAATACTTAGCTTTTATGAAAACTTTCTTAACCGAACAGTCTCCTAAGCATTCCTACAGCAGACTCACTACTTGTGATGCGTCATTCATGTGAGCAAAAGTTCACTAGTTGTGCATTGCCTCAACCATAGGAGTGGATCTCATTCTTATTGTGTCGGAATGACGGAATTTCTTGTCTTGTTGGCTTTTAGCATGCCATACCGGAACTTCTTTTGGATCCTTGTCGTTATCGATACATCACCATCATCACTATCGCTTGTTTGAACGATGCCTTCGTTATGCTTTTTTTTTTTAGCGAGGTTTGGTAATTTGTTTGAAGACTTTAAGGCCATGGAGAGTTAGGCTTTAGTGTTGGCAGAAAAAACTTTTGAGCTAAAATTACTATTTTATTTAGCTTGTTAAATATTTGTTAATAAATTATCTTGAACCTAAAGCCATAAATATAAATTGATAAATTAATTTTTTTTTGTTAATCTTTCATCATATTTCTTCACTTTTTGTTGTGCTGGCATTTACTTAATTGACTTTGGAATTTGCTTTTATTATAATGTGTGCACTGATTCTTACTTGAAGACTTGGATCCGCCTTTGTCTTGTTGATTATTTTTATATTGAGGTCCATCATTAAACCATTTTAACTTTTAGGTCCGGCTGAATTGTGACCAAGTTAAACTTGTTGATGTGCTTAATGATAAAGGCTTCTTCGGACATCTTAGTTTTAAAAAAACTTATGCATAAGATGTGTTTCATTGACAACAGAGAGCTTCTCGTGTATGTCTAACATTACCTTCATTATGCTTGTTGTAGTTTTTTCATTCTACTCTTTGATCAATAGCAGATGGTTTTGATTTCTTAAAGGATGATGAATTTTACCTTGATTGTGATAATCTTTTATCATATGTTCCCATGGTTTAATTCTTGACTATCAAATTGTCTGTCTTAATTTTCCTGTCTTCCATTACTAGAGTTTGAGTATTTAACCAAAAGATATGATACCAGTTGTTAGGATAAAAATAGTGAAGAACAAAATACATGAAGACAGAAAATGAATTCCAACAAAGATACAATCAAAAGCACACAAAAATTTAGATGTTTCGTTGAGTTCCACTTACATTTATTAGTGTTTAGAAATCGATCCACTATATTTTTAAAATGGTACATTATGTGATTATATTTTATAAAAAAGATGAAGATTTTATGAGATTTTGGAAATCCACAAAATAGGACCCTTGGTGTGACATCCAAATAAATTTTTGGAGATCCACTAAATGAAAATCTTAGTGTGACATCCAAATAAACTTTTGGAGATCCACCAAATAAAATTTTAGTGTGACATCCAAGCAAATAATTGGAGATCCACTAAATGAAAATTTTAGTGTGACATCTAAGTAAACCCCATGGAGATCCACTAAGTGAAAACCTATGTGTCCAGAGAAAAAAATTTATGGAGATCCACAAGGTCAGTCAACATACAACAAACGTGATTCGCTCTGGGCGCGTACCACATTTGTTGGGGGGCATTTGTTGACCCCTATACCTCAAACCGCTCGTTAAAACTCCCTCGCCGAATAAGAAAAGCGAGCGGAGGCCGAGGCCGAATTTTCGGAGCCCACAATCACTTGAAGGGACAAATGACCTCCGACTGCTAAACGGATGGTATCTTTGCGACTAGGACACTGAATTCTGCTAGGTCGAGGCCCCTTGTAATTGAATCGGATGAGATTGGTCAAAAGAGACAACCGACACCCGAAATTAAAGCGCGAGGCTGATCAAACGATGTCAGATCAACAAACAGACTTCGTCATTGTGTTCAGAACATTGTAAATACTCAAAAAATGTATTTTATTTGTTTAATTTGGATCATCCTAATGAGTGACTTGAATTTCGAGACAATGCGTATTTCGAGGAAATCAAGCCTCGACGTCACTCAGATGACGTCCGATCATGAAACGGACTATGCCATTGCGTCCGGAACGTCCTCGACATTCCAAATATACATCTTTTGTGATTAATTGGGATCAATCGTAATGGTGACACGGATCCCAAGGTAATAACACGCATATCGAGGAATTTGGCCCTCGATGTCCCCCGAACGATTTCAGATCGACAAACGAACAGTGTCATTGTGTCCGGAACATTGTCTACATTCAAAATATATATTTTATTTAATAAATTTGGATTGTCTGAGATGGTGGCGAATTTCTATGCAATTCAAATATAATATAATGGCCTGCGTTACGACGGAAACGAGGCCTCGAAGACGCTCGGACAACGTCCGATCGACAAATGGACAGCGCCATTGCTTCTGGAACGTCGTCGACATTCGGAATATATATTTTATTTAATAAATTTGGATCATCTGAGATGGTGGTGAATTTTTAGGCGATGCAAATATGATATAAAGGCCTGCGTTACGACGGAAACGAGGCCTCGAAGACGCTCGGACGACGTCCGATCGACAAACGGACAACGCCATTGCGTCCGGAACGTCGTTGGCATTAAGTGTCTACATTTTATTTGATCAAATTGGATCATTTAAGGTAGCGTCGTAAATTTCAAAGGTGATCCAAATATGATTCAAAGGCACGTGTTACGAGGGAAATTAACCTCGTTGGTGATGAAATGACGTCCGATTACAAAACGGACAGTACCATTGCGTCCGGAACGTCATCGGCATTAAGAGTCTATATTTTATTTGATCGAGTTGGATCGTTTGATGTGGTGTCGTAAATTTCAAAGGCGATTCAAATATGTTGCGAAGGCACACATTACAAGGGAAATTAGCCTTGTCGGAGACCAAACGATGTCAGATCGACAAACGGACAGCGCCATTGCGTCCGGAACGTTGTCAACCTCTGAAAATTGTATTTTGTTTATTCAATTTTAAGTATTCATAAAGGTGGCACGAATCTCGAGGCAAAACACACATACCGAGAAAAGAGGTCTCGAGGTTGCCCAAACGATGTTCGATCGCAAAAACAGACTATGTCATTGGGTCCGAAACATCGTCAATACTATGAATGCACTGACAATTTGTTCGAATGAGGTTTTGCACGCAAATCGAGACAACGAGCACTTCGAGGGAATTAAGCCTCGTCGCCACCTAAATGATGTCCGATCGCAAAACGGACTGCTTCGTTGCGACCGGGACATCATCAATACCCTAGATTCACTATTAATTTGTCTAATTCCGATATTCGGCAAATCAACACGTTAAACGAGGCAAATACGCAAATTTCGAGGAAATCACGCAAATCAAGATTCATTTCATTGACTGATTCATCATGGATATTCTCAATTAATGCTAATACTAATTTTGGCAGGTCATTATTAGTGTTGCCCGTGAATCTAATCAAAATGGTGAAAATCAGATAAAATCAAATCAAGGTAATTAATGTATTTTCTCATACATTGTCAAAAGAATCCAGTAAATCCCGGTGAAAACCTCGGATAATTGACAAGCTGTTGTCTTTTCCTGTAAAACCAGCGACTACTTCATTTCAAGAGCTTTTACGGATAAATCTCATACACAGCTCCTGCTTCCGATTTTCTATTCATATGCTCTGTCATGTTTGCCTCCAACAAATTCCACGGAACACCTCCTCTGTTAAAAGATGAAGCTTCCTTTTCTCTTCAAGTCACGAGCTTCTCCAGTTTATCCGTCTCTTCCATGTTAAATTCCCACAGCTCAACTTCATGAGCTCCCTCTGTCATCTCCCCTCCATCTCTCTTCATGAGCACCACCAACAAACCTCCAGCTGCCTTGCTCCACCGGAAATCCAGCAGTCCACGAAGAGCAGGCTGCACTCATCATATCTCTTCCCTATTTTCCACTACAGCTGAGGTGGGTTGTTCAACCAAGCTATGGAGATTTATGATAATATGCTTGCTGCCGGAATGGGACCAGACCTGTCCACTTACGATGAGATACTTGCTTATATAAAGAATCTCAATTGTAAACCAAACGAGCTTACTTGTTCTTGGCTGCATGCATATGCCAATATGAAGGAACAAGGAGTGGAAATGGCGACGGTGCTCCGCGGCTATTCTTCTCCGCCGAGGCAAGGAAATTGTATCATCTGTCTCTGGCTTCTCTCTGTTTCATGTCTTCTCTTCCAAGCAAGGCTTCTTCTTACGGGAAGGATGGATCCCGCGTCACATGGCCTAAGCAACTCAGCACTATCATGATCTCTCTATCTACGTAAAAAACCTTCTAAGTAACCACTTCTCCCCATATATCTGAACCACAACTCTGTACATTTTCCTCTTCCACGATCCTTTCTTGTTTTCAGCTCAAAGAATCCGGTCAAATCCACTCATGCAAGCAAGATAAAACTTCAGCTCTGAAGGCTTGATCCGTCAAATCCACTCGAGCAAGCAATAAATTTCCTTCTGAAACCAAGCTTTGAATCCTCACTTCATCAACCCCATGCTCATTCGGCTCCACAACTCTTATATCCAAACAAAATCTTGAACCAGCGC